TATCTGTCCTGTATTTTCCAACACTCAGTTGTCCACGAGTTCAGGCATTGGGAGGGAGGGAGGAAAACTTTATCCACTTTGTGTATGAATAATTCTATGCCCTTCTATCACCTCGCCTCTTCCTCGCCTTTTCTCTGAACTAAGATGTCCCAAATGCTGCAACCTTTCTTCATAGTTGTTCCACCCCCGTGATGAATTTGGTTGCCCTTTCCTTAACCTCTCCCAATATCCTTTTTGAGGTGGCGTGCTGGGGAAAAAGTTGCTTAAAACTAGTGGGCATGGCAAACCATGCCAGGTTGCCTGGGTCCTGGCAGCTGCCCAAGGGTGCCATGGGCCTTGGGGATATAAATAGTGAAGTGATGAGTGATTAAGTGGCACAGCTTCCCACACCCACATTTTCAACTCATGCTGGCACCTTCTTTGTAACAGCAACAGCAAAAAGGCCCTAACTCTGGAAGCTGTGTGCTCCCCGCCGCGGCTTTTGCCTGGAGTTGCAGGCAATAACACGACCAAGAAAATGTCACTTGACTTTAGAGAAACACGGAGCAGATGTCTGGCCTTTAAAGAGCAGGATTGCATTTTGTCACCTTATAAAAGAATATAGGCTAGTAAATGGGCTTTGGGACTTCTCCATGGGTTTTCTAGATGCTTTGGTCTCTGCATCTGGCAATTGAAGATGGGACCACGGCTACACCAGTGGGTTTTGCATTTACTGCCTGCATTCAGTTGGCAAAGCAATTAGCCCTTTTGCGGCAAAGCCAGCATCTGAATTACCCTCAAAATTTCCTGCGCAAAACTACTTTCCATCTGCCTGGTGTTTTCACCACTGGGAACAAGTTACACCTGCGCTCCATACAGAGTTCGTATTGGCTTTCAACCCACTTCCAAATGCAATACTAGGTGTTACTTTTGGACTGTAAAGAGCACTGTTATAGAACCCAACCGATCATCTCCTTTGTTCTCCTTAACCAAGAGGAAAACCCTTGTGGATAAGCTATTTCCAGTTAGGAATCTGGCTTGAAGAAGAAGAAGAAGAAGAAGAAGAAGAAGAAGAAGAAGAAGAAGAAGGAGAAGGAGAAGGAGAAGAAGAAGAAGAAGAAGAAAAAGGAGAAATCCCCAAATAATTGTTTCTCGAAATAAATGTCTTCCATCCACAGTCCTAAGCAGATTGCATTTACTCCCAAGTAAAGACTCCACTGATGTCAATACATTGCAATACATTGCAATGAAGACCTCATTCTGGCCAGCCATGAAGGGGGGGTTGGAAAACACAAACAGAGCATGTCGAAGGTGCCGTGTAATAGATTTATTTGTGCACACAATGCATTTTACAGCCGGTTTAAAAAGGACGAAGGCATTTCTCTCCCTGTGTGTACATACCAGCAGCACTCTTGTGTAATAAAACCAACATATACTTTCTCGTTTAAAAAATAGGCATATATGAAAACTGGGCATATATACAAATAAACAGGGAAAAAACAACCCATCTATTTTCTCTTTTTTAAAAAAAGTTTTACAGCCTTTACATATTTGATACCTTCTAGAAACGGGGCACAAAAATATAGATGGTGTGCACTAAAGAAGATACAGATCTTGGAGACACCGCACAGTCTTTGGTATTACTAACTGGTACCTGCAAGCACTTGAGTGTTTTCTATAGGATCAGGGATGAGTCACCAGGTGCCCCCCCAACACTACAAGGACTACAACTCCCATTACCCTTGAGCATTGGGTGTGCTAACTAGGGCTGATGGGAGTTGTGGTTCAATAATAGCCAAAGGCCCAATACATTTCCCACCTCTGCCTTGAATCCTGACAAGACAGAAGTACTGTTTCTGGGGGACAGGAGGCGGGTGGGTGTGGAGGACTCCCTGGTCCTGAATGGGGTAACTGTGCCACTGCAGGACCAGGTGCGCAGCCTGGGAGTCATTTTGGACTCGCAGCTGTCCATGGAGGCACAGGTCAATTCTGTGTCCAGGGCAGCTGTCTACCAGCTCCATCTGGTATGCCGGCTGAGACCCTACCTGCCCGCAGACTATCTTGCCAGAGTGGTGCATGCTCTAGTTATCTCTCACTTGGACTACTGCAATGCACTTTACGTGGGGCTACCTTTGAAGCTGACCCGGAAACCAACTAATCCAGAATGTGGCAGCCAGACTGGTGACTGGGAACGGCTGCCGAGACCACATAACACCAATCTTGAAAGATCTACATTGGCTCCCAGGATGTTTCCAAGCACAATTCAAAGTGCTGCTGCTGACCTTTAAAGCCTTAAACGGCCTCAGTCCAGTACACCTGAAGGAGTGTCTCCACCCCCATTGTTCTGCCCGGACACTGAGGTCCAGTGCTGAGGGCCTTCTGGCGGTTCCCTCACTGCGAGAAGCCAAGTTACAGGGAACCAGGCAGAGGGCCTTCTCGGTAGTGGCACCCGCCCTGTGGAACACCCTCCCACCAGATGTCAAAGGGAAAAAAACTACCAGACGTTTAGGAGACATCTGAAGGCAGCCCTGTTTAGGGAAGCTTTTAATATCTGAAGGACTATTATATTTTAATATTTTGTTGGAAGCCGCCCAGAGTGGCTGGGGACACCCAGCCAGATGGGCAGGGTATAAATAAATAAATTATTATTATTATTATTATTATTATTATTATTTCTGCAGCTGCCTTATGCGGAGATGGACCACCTTGCCCAGGAAAATCTCCTTTGCCTGGTAACAGCTCCCCCAAATCCCAGGCACAAATCTTCCCCAGCCTTGCCAGGAGCCCTCTTTTAACTGGTGGTACTGGGCCTTGAATGTGTGAATTATATGATCTGACAACCATCCCAGCGGCACCTTTTCTGCTGCTCAGTCCTGCTGTGTTGCACCATTTTTTTCCAACAAATAATGTTATTGACAGCCGCTGCTCCTAAGATTCAAAAGCAAGTGGGAACTTTGATTTGTGCCGACTTCCCCCAAGTTCATTATCACACCAGGTGGTCAAATGCTATGGCGCCATCTCCCTGAGGTGGGTTTAGAAAGCAGGCCACTGCCTTCCTACGCAGCCATTGTCACAAGGTGGCAGTAGCGAATCCTCAAGCTGGCTGTGTCCTCCAACAAGACTTCATCATGCCACCCTTGTAGGATCCCTGATTATCACCCCTTCCAGAGATACAGGGTCACAGGAAAAAAAACACCCAATCCCTTTGCTGTTCTGCAGTCAGCCTTCAGGGTTGAACTTCAGAAGTCCCTGCAGTCCCTATACGGGGCATAGCTGTCAACTATCCCTTATTTGGCAGGAAAGTCCCTTATCCCAGCACCGTGTCCCGTTGCTGTCCCTTATTGATGATGTCCCTTAAATTTCCCGGGTTTCAAAGGAAGCAGCTCCTCTCCCTCCCTCCCTGCCGGCCGGGGAGGAGGGAGGCTCCAACTGTGTTGCTTGGCTGCGTTGCTCACCCAATAAGGAGTCTAAGAACGACTGGGGGGGTGGAGCTTGCATGCCTTGTGCCAATCAAATCGGCCGCGTTGCCTGGGGACTCGCCTTTGCTCAGTGCTTCCCAGCGGAGAGCTGATGGTGGTTTCCCTTGCTGCATCCCCTTTGCCGGATCGCTGAGCTGTGGGAACCACCGCTTGAGGCTTTGTTTGGCCGCTGGCTGGGCTTTCTGCCTTTGGCTTGGAGGGGCTCAGAAGTTGAACATACCTGTGCTTGGAAAATCCCTTATTTGGCTGCTGGTCCCTTATTTTCAAATCTGTAAGTTGACAGCTATGATATGGGGTCATGTATGTATCTCCTTCATGAACCTCTGGCTTTAGATCTTGGAAAGGCCAGAGCACATGCTTTATCTGCCTAAGTTCATTTTCTGGCATCTGCTGATAGGACTGGGAAAGACCACACTGGAGAGCTGCTGCCAGCCAGTGTTGACAACACTGATCTAGATGGCCTGATGTGAAATATGACAGCTTCCTTTGTCGCTCTCTGCATTTTTGCCATCGAGCCACTGCTCCACAATGGAAGAAACAAAAAGGTCTTTGATTTCTATTTCTAATTCAACTTGTTTTTTCAATTAGACTGGAAGACTAAACATTTTCTACAAAATAGAAACAGGACCTATGCTTTTAAAAATCTCTCTCTGTTAAAACATGGCCAGTCAAGAAAGGAATAATGCTTTTTGTGCAAGTGGGTTAGATGTGATCCTCTAGGGGCCTGTTGGTTTCCAGTTACCACCTGCCCCAGGCAGACCGACAAAAATATTAGGAAAGATCAAAACCTAAGGGCAGTGAAAACAAGTTTCCGCACTAGGCATATACTAACCGAGGAGCTGCAGCCAATTCCAGCACTTTGACTCTGCACTTCATGGTTTTTCAATATGCTGTGAGGCACCAATAATGCACAGGAATTGACTTCAGAAATATCTGCTGAAATCTCTGCTAAATCAAGCTTTTTATATACATATATAAACCCACACACAGAGAACAGTTATATTGGGGAAAGTCTACCATACTGAACGTAATTGTTCTGCAATAATTGCCTTTCTTGTTGAAAGTGTAAGTTGGCCATCTTGTAACAATATGGCACAATCCTTTTAGCTCCTCTCTGCACTGATATTAATAGCATTTTTCTGTAGCAATGCATATGTATGGTGCATATGCGTATGCAGTAATCCCACCTGTGTATGCCAATTCCTGGATGTTAAGAAGACTGCTTTATGCTGATCCGACACTGCAACTGGAATAAAGCCCTACTTAAAATACAGCTTGGCTCCTGAGCGCTTCTGTACATCGCAACATGAGCGGGATATTTAAAAAGCTACTTTTAAGTGTGGATTTTGTTTACCCTGGGAGATGAGCAGAATAGGCCACCTCCACGAAGCCATTCAGAATGCTGCTCTGCTCTCCTGCATCTTTCCATTCCTCATACTGAGGGCTCACGGTTGCCAATACAGTCATATCTTGGATCCCAAACACCTTGCAAGTCGAACGTTTTTGCTCCTGAACGCCGCAAACCCAGAAGTGACTGTTTTGGTTTGAGAAAGTTCTTTGGAACCTGAACGTCCGACGTGACTTCTGATTGGCTGCAGGAGCTTTGGAAGTCGAACGGACTTCCGGAACGGATTCCGGTTGACTTCTGAGATACCACTGTGATGCACATCTCTACGAGAGATGAAGAAATTCTGTTTGCAATTAAACAAGGATTGATGCTTCTTGCCACTGCCACTGCCCCATCCTTCAAAGGACAAGGCAAAACCCGTCATGCTGCGAAGTTGCAAAGGAAGTTAAAAGGGGGGTGTCGGTGTCTGTATCCTGCTCACACTAAATGCAGAAGTCTCCTTGATCTGAATGCAGCTGGGTTGGGCTCCTAACAATTGCGTTACATGACTACTACAAACAATCTGTGGATGCTCGTATTTGTTGATCTATAAGCCTGCTTCTTCTTTTCTCCTCTTAGAAGTCTTTATCCCAGCCTGAAAGCTCATCTGGTGGGGTTCCCTGCTCAGGAGGGTATCGGTCGAAGTAGCTGTAATCCATCGGACCAGAAAGCTGTGAAAGAAACACATGTAAAGAAAATCTTAAGGGGGACACCAGGCAAAAAGCAGTTACAGAATCATAACTATCAGCTGAGATCCAGCTCCAAGGGCCTTCTGGCGGTTCCTCACTGCAAGAAGTGAAGTTACAGGGAACCAGGCAGAGGGCCTTCTCGGTAGTGGCACCCGCCCTGTGGAATGCCCTCCCACCAGATGTCAAGGAAATAAGGAGCTATGCAATCTTTAGAAGGCATCTGAAGGCAGCCCCGTATAGGGAAGTTTTTAATGTTTGATTATGTTTCTGTATATGCTAGGAGCTGCCCAGAGTGGCTGGGGCAACCCCGTCAGATGTGTGGGGTGCAAATAATAAAATTCTTATCACCATCACCTAGTCCAACCCCACTGACATTTAAGGCACATAGGCTTTGAACGACTTCCTAGCCACGTCCCCAAAGCATGCTGGGATAACATCATGTCAGGCAATGGCACTCATTGCACTGACATTGCCACTGATCCTGCCCAAATGAAATCAAACACCATTGACGCAGAAGAGAGGTTCTGTGAGACCAGAGTTTGAATCCCCGCTTGGCCCTTCTGACGCAAACAAGACTTCACCCTTGTGCAAATGGTCAAATGACAAGCGTTTAATGCCACATAGTATGACATTCTCAGTACCTCTCTTTTTAAAGGAGACGTTAACTTCCTTGCCTTTAGTCCTTCCCAGTTAAAACCGTTCAGCCACCTAGGAAGGAAGTTTAAGAACAAGAAGATCAGTGAAACAGGCTTCAGTGGTTATAAGATGAGAGGCGCATCTGTCTTGGAAGGAAACAACATCACACCTTCATCCTGCCTTTGTGGCCACAAAAGGACTTCCATGTTTCTCCTCTGCTCTACAGCATCAGAGACAAAAGCAGGAGAGAAAGAAGCGACCCTGGTTTGCAAGGAACCCCGCCATTCCTTTCCTTACCTATGCCTCTTAATATCATGGATACCATTCTTCAGATTTCCTAACCTCTCGGTTGGATTTTGCCTACAAACAAAACAAAACAAAAGCAAAGTCAACGCTCCATAATTTGGAAGCTTCGTAATTTAATAATACTATCACCTTCTGTGTTCTAATGCAATTCAACAGGTTGGATCCTATCTATCTATCTATATATATTAAAAGAGCCTGAATCAGCCTTCCCCAACTTGGTGCCCTTCAGTTGCCTGTTAGCAAACAGATTTGAAACTTCCAAGGGCTTTCCCCAGAAAACCTCCATTTGCACCAGTTGTATATTTAAAATCAAGGCAGAGAAACTTTCAGCATGACCTTATAAATAATATGCTCTTGGTCCGCAGGAAGTGGGGCTGATTTCTAGTAATGTTCATTTTGTTGGTATTTGCAAGTGGGTGGGGGAGTGGGAGAGTGTGTGTGCTCCAGCCGCCAGAATACATGGCTTGAAATACCCTCAGCAACTTCTCTCTCAAGTGAGAGAGAGAGAAGTGTTATGAAAAATCAATGATGTGTCATCATAAATGTATGGGAATCAGTGCATTTACATGTACCACATGTCCACAAAATGTCAAAACCTACAGGTGGTGAAAAATGGCCTTTACAGCAAGGCTCAGTTAAATAGTGGCAAAGTTTCCAGATGTGCCTATTTGGTCCTGTTTTCTCAACGAACCTGCCAATTTCTTGATGAAAGATCACCTTTACCAGTAAAACCTGAGCTGAAAGGGTACAGAGAGCAACAAAGTGGCCATGTTTATTCCTAGCCAGCCTTGAGACTCCCCTAGTCACATAGCAGGAAATTCTTCCTGAGCCTCCCCTCTGTGAAACAGGTTTAACAAATGTTGATAACTATCCAATCAGACTTGTCAAAAGAGCAGATTCCTATGCATGAACAAAACAGGTCTGTGACAATGGATTATGGAGTCATGGCATTCACAGTATCAAAAGAATGACCCAGACTGGCCAGGAAAAGGCAATCAGCAAACATTAGCAGGGATCTTGACAGACAGAGGACAAGTCATACTTTCACAATTTCTAGTTATAGGTAGGTAGCCATGTTGGTCTGCTGTAGTAGAAACAAAATAAAAAAAATCCTTCCAGTAGCACCTTAGAGACCAACTAAGTTTGTTATTGGTATGAGCTTTCGTGTGCATGCACAATTCTTCAGTTGGTGTCTAAGGTGCTACTGGAAGGATTTTTTTTATTTTGTTCTCAAATTTCTGTTGTAGACCGCCTCTTTCTGTGATGCTTGTATGATGCTTTTGGGTGGTCTTTGGCTAACGCACCCTTTCTCAACCTGTGGGTCCCCAAATGCTGGGGACCCACAGGTTGAGAGCTGCTGGGCTAAGGGGTTGGGCAATTCCTACAGTGTTTAAAAGTTGTCACACACCTTTGTTCTGGGCTCCCTCGTCTCCTTGCATGGAGAGACTCTACTTGCAAACAGATCAATAGAGATCAGCAGCTTGCCTTGTTTTCTTTGTTGCCTCTGAAATATACTCTGAGTCGAGAGTGGATTTCATGCTCTTTATTCAGCTCATAGTGGTGAGGAGGAATGGAAGTTCTCCCAGAATGTCTGCTTTATATACATTATTTACACAATGGGCCCCACGTGATTGGCTAATTCCGGGATTCTCCTGTAGGCCAATCAGGTTGCGGATTCACTTCCACCTGGAGCTGGATTGGGTTGCTCCTGTGGACCAATCAGACTGCTGCATTCTGGATCCTATTGTTCTAGGACCAATCAGGCTGCTGCATTCTGAATCCTATTGTTCTAGGACCAATCAGACTGCTGTATTTTGGATCCTATTAAACTCAGTACATAACAGCATCACTGTTTCATCTCTGACCAAGATGAAAGGGATATCTTTTCTCTTGATAGGGGAGGGGGCCGAGGCTGTAAAAACCAAACCCCATTCTCCCCCCCCCAACAACAGAAGAAATGATAAAAGCCAAAGGCGACGACTCATCCTTACTGCAAAGGGTGCAGCACCAATGCTCTGATCATTGCTACTTTGCACTCAAGGTATAGGAGAGTAGAAGCTTCTTGTACACCGTGTGCCATATTAAAACCGCTGCAGGCTTGTAGTTAATTATAAGACAGGAGGCTAAGAGCATGAACAGATGCGGGGTTCATTCAGGACACTGAGGTGCTGAGTCAACGAATCCAGTCTGCTTGAAGTGGGGCAAACAGAAGACCTGGAAGAGAGGTCCTGGATCAGGGTCCATGTGCCCTTCTGCAGCAACCTTGATCTTCCTGTTTGCCTGGTCTTCTGTCTCTTTCTCTGGTGACAGATGCCTGTCTCCAGGTGGTCTCCCATCAAGGCACAGCCAAAATCTGGGCTGGCTCAGCTTCAGCAAGGCCGTTGAATCACCTGCCTTTTTTTTTTTTTTTACTTCCATGTGCAATGGACTTGCAAGAATGGGATGTGTCCATCCCAAAGTCCCAAGAAGCAGGCCTCTGAAAACAAGGTAAAGGCCTCAGAACCTCAGCCTTCAAGGGGCGAATTGGCGGCAACTTCCAGTTCACGTCTTCGGTTTTATGTTGGTTGCCTAGCAACTTGCGAGGAAGATTTTAATGTGAACAGGGAAGCCAAAATGCATCTGATTAACACAGAAACAAGTGTAGCCTAATCTGAAGAGAAGAGTCGGGGTCTGGGCAAAAGTTGCCTGAGCATAAATAGGCAGCCTGGCTATACACTTTGATTGTGCACATCTACCTTCACTCAGAATGCCCAAAGTGGACAGAGCAATCAAGTAGCAATAGTTGAATGGAATTGCACTGTAAAATAAATAATAAAGTATCTCACACCCGGTAAACATTAAGCAAACAATGCATTTTTTAAAAAAACAAAAACTAAATACCCTCAGTTTAATAATTAACATCCAAACATCTAAGCAGAATCTTTTTTGCTTCTAAAGAGAGAGAAGATAGGTTTTGGCTTAAGTTTAACAAGCTTTGATTTTTGGGCGCCTGGCAGAATGTAGCACGGCTAAAGTATTCTTTTCACACCTTCGGGACAAAATTGCCCTCCTCACCTGCAGAGCCGCCGAATCAAATCTTCAGGCCGCTTTGTGATTATCCTGGGAAAATCCAGCCTTTCGACGCCTTTCAGAATCAAATTGTAGGTCATCATTTGATCGACCCCAGAAAATGGAGGACTAGAGTAAATGTCACGATTTTTAGAAATGCATTGGGCGCGGGGGGGGGGGGGGAGAGAGAAGGAAAAGAAAAACGCTTGAGTAAAAAGGAGTTAGTAATGACAAAAGAGAAATTCTATTTTAGGTACAGGTAAAATTCGCAGAAAGCTGTTTTATAGGAAGTCTCACTAATTGTCCTAGCAGCCCAGTATTGTCTATTCTGACTGGTAGCAGCAATCCAGGGTCTCTTCCACCGGGTTGGACTAGATGACCCTTGTAGTCCCTTCCAACTCTCTACAATTCTATGAATCTATGACCTGCTACCTGGTGCTTTTAAATGAAGATACTGGGGATTGAACCTGGGGGTTCTTGTTTGCAAGCAGATGCTCTACCACTGAGCTATATTATTTCCTGTTTAATGCCCATGCAAATCTGAATGAAGAAAGAAAGAAAGAAAGAAAGGAAGGAAGGAAGGAAGGAAGGAAGGAGAAGGGAGAAAGCTAGACCCCCTAACAGTTTGGCTACACTGAACCTTAAACAGAGATTATTCTGAAATATGAATGTATTATTACGGATTCGTGGGGGCCCTGCCTTCCCCTAGGTTTCTGGGTGCTGAGGTTTAACTAGTGTTTTGAGAATCAAGGTGAGCCGATAGGTGTCGGATTTAGCAGTGTAAAAATTCAGGCTAAGCTTCTGTTCCCGACCGGGGCATTGCCTGAGGGGGGAAGTTATTAAGAAGTGCAAAGAGAGATCCTTGAGTCTGGGCAAACAGGGGTTGCCAGGGTTACGGTGAGCGGTGACTGAGTCAGAAGGGATTGGGCAAGGGGGTTTGTTGGAAGAAGATAGAGGAAGTAGGAGAGCACCATGTGGAGATGAAGGAGAAGAAGCCAATTGGTGAGTGGCCAATTGGTGGCCTTAGGGCTGATTTCAGTCCTCTGACAACTGGATCCCACCCTCTCTGAAATATACTCAGAGTCGCAAAGTGATTTCATGCTCTTTATTCAGCTCATAGAGGAGGAATGAATGAAAGTCCCCTCAAAGTATCTGCTTTATATACATTATTTACACAATGGGCTGCACATGATTGGCTAATTCCGGAATTCTACTGTAAGCCAATCAGGTTGTGGATTCACTTCTATCTGGAGCATGATTGGGTGGTTCCTGCCAACCAATCATACTGCTGCATTGTTCTGGGACCAATCAGACTGCTGCATTCTGAATCCTATTGTTCTAGGACCAATCAGACTGCTGCATTCTGGATCCTATTGTTCTAGGACCAATCAGACTGCTGCAGTTTGGATCCTATTCAACTCAGTACATAACACTCTCATTACACCCCCCCCCCCACCAGGACAGGGGGCAAGACAGAGAGCAGGGGGTTCAAGAAAATGGGAGAGAGAAAGAGGGTGGCAGAAAGAGAAAAAAGGGACTGTCCCCTCCCACTTTTGGCTCTGTCCCCATCTACAAATGGCGTCACCCCTGCCCACTGCTGGCATTTGCCCCCCCCCTCCTCAATTATTTCCACAGAAGCAGCTCTCAATTTTTTAAAAAAAGCTTCCTCGAACCCAGCTATAAAGTGTGGGCTCTACAATATGGACTCTCCCCATAATATAATAACCAAGCAAAACAACAGCAAATAACCTATTTGTGTAAAGAGTTCATAGAAGCAGTGATTCCTGAGGTAACTGACTTGGCACTTACTTTCCTGTCAGCAGCTCATACACTAGGATACCAAGAGACCAGAAGTCCACGCTGAAATCGTGTCCTTTGTTCAGGATGACTTCAGGGGCAACGTACTCAGGAGTCCCGCAGAACGTCCAGGTCTTTTGTCCAGCTCCAATCTTCTTAGCGAACCCAAAATCAACCTCAGGGGGTGGAAGAGCAAATACTATCATCAGACAGTGAGGCATTTAGCTTTGGCTGTTCTCATTTGCAGCATCTAGCCCATGCTGGCTTTGTGCAACCCAGGGCATTTACAAGTGGGCTTTGGAAGGCCAAGGGAAGTGGGATTCCATTTACAGTGGTACCTTGGTTCTCAAACTTAATCCGTTCCGGAAGTCCGTTCCAAAACCAAAAGCATTTCTAAAAACAAGGCGCACTTTCCCACAGAAAGTAATGGATTGATCCGTTCCAGACTTTAAAAGCAACCCCTAAAACAGCAATTGAACATGGATTTTACTATCTAACGAAACCATTGATCCATAAAATGAAAGCAATAAACAATGTACTGCAGTCACACAATCAATCTATCAGTAACTGAACTGGGTTCCACACAGTCACAAAAACAAAAGAGCTGCAAAAACAAAAACGCAAAATAAATAGCAAAAACAGACAGACCTCAGCATAACACTCAAAATGGATGTGGCACTCAAAATAGAAGCATAACACTCAAAACGGAGCACATTTGGCTTCCATAAAATGTTCGCAAACCACAACACTTCCGGGTTTGCAGTGTTTGGGTTCCAAGTTTTTTGAGTACCAAGGCGTTTCAGAACCAAGGTACCACTGTACTTAAAATGTACAGGATGGTGAAAGGTTGCTTTTCTCTTCCATCTGCTCTGCTCCCTCTGGCAGCTTGGTGCCTACACTGACTTCCAGAAAAGCCTTTTACTGCCCCAGCGCATAGTTAAATTATGGAACTCGTTTCCACAGGAGGCAGTGACACTGGTCCTGCTAGCTAGGGATGATGGGAGTTGTAGTCCAGGCTGGAGACCCCAGTTTGGGAAACCCTGGTCTACCCGAACCAGTAGCGGCTCTCCATGGTTTCGGACAAAAGTCCTTCCCAGCCCAACTTGTAAACACCAGGGGTTGAATCTTGACCTTAGCATACATACTGAGCTATGGGCCTTCCATTATCCTATTTTCACCTTAGCATTTTGAGGGGGTATTTTGGTTCTGCTGCACACAGGTATGTCAAGAACCTATGAAGAGTCTGCGTGAAAATATGGATGCAATTCGTCAATCGGAAACTGTGTGGTTCATGGAAAGAGGGGAGTACAGGTGGCTTGCTGGTTTCCATCGTCACTCTACCTGAGTGGAGTGCAAGGAAGTTTCCTTTTTTGTGAATGTTCCCTTTGACTTTGGGCTGGTAAACTATATTCCTCAGAGGCCCAGATCTGACCCAGGAGGCCTCCCACAATTGCTGACCTCGAGGATCATTCCTTCCACTTAGACCATGCATGCAATTTACAGGAAGATTCTTGTGAATTAAAATTGTAACCTGGGAGGAAGGGGGTGGAATCGACACACCCAGGGGAATAATATTCCTTCCTAACCCTCGGGTTGAGTGCGACAGAGGCTTCAAGGATTAAGTGCTCTTAAAATTTCCCTTTAACGGGCATGGCACTGAATGAAAAGCAAGCTTCTCTCTGCCGGACAGTTATGGGCATTAAAGAAAAACAAACCAACCACAACCTCACCAGCTTTATATATCCTTGAGCGTCCAAAATTAAATTTTCAGGCTTCAAGTCCCTGTAGATCACACTGATGTAATGCAAATATTCGACGGCTTCCGTCACACATCCAACACAGAACTTTGTAGTGGTTTCATCAAAGCTCCCTCTGAAATAAAGCAAACATTTCCCATCTTTTTCACACTGGCTGTAGTTCCTCCATATCCCATGCAATCCTTGAGCTCCAGGAATCAAGATCCTCTCTCTCTCACACATTTTATTTGATACAAGGAGAGCTCTGTCTAAATAAGCAGGTCTGAGGCTGTAGTATATAGCCTGAGGGCTCCTACAGATTTCATTTTCATTGCACATTCATGATTATTTGTGCTCACGATGCTATTGTGGGGTGGTCATGCCCAAAACCACTTTCAATACTATCCGTGTGTGCAAACATTTGGGGGCAGTCACTCCTCTTCATTACCAGTCAGTTTGTATCAAAGAACTTCCTGCTGAAATCATTCAACTTCTTAATACCTCAGGTTAAGAACTTAATTCGTTCTGGAGGTCTGTTCTTAACCTGAAACTGTTCTTAACCTGAGGTACCACTTTAGCTAATGGGGCCTCCCACTGCCGCCGGAGCACAATTTCTGTTCTCATCCTGAAGCAAAGTTCTTAACCCAAGGTACTATTCCTGGGTTAGCGGAGTCTGTAACCTGAAGTGTCTATAACCTGAGGTACCACTGTACTCAGTTTTGGAGAGGTCCTCTATAGAGCGCTAGGGCAGGCAGTCTTCTTATGTTTTAAACAACCCTCAACAGTTTAGTACAGTGGTACCTTGGTTTACGAACTTAATCCGTTCCGGACGTCTTTTCTTAAACCAAGGTGTGCATTCCCATAGCAGCGGGGGACTCAGTTTACAAATGGAACACACTCAACAGAATATATAAATACAGAATGCATAAATACTGATTACAGTGGTACCTCGGTTTTTGACCGTCTCCATTGATGAACATTTTGGTTTTCGAACACCGTAAACCCAGATGTAAATGCTTCAGTTTTCAAATGCACCTCAGAAGTTGAACATGCCACACAGCTTCCGTGTTGAGTTTTTCATACAGTGGTACCTCGGGTTAAGAACTTAATTCGTTCTGGAGATCCGTTCTTAACCTGAAACTGTTCTTAACCTGAGGTACCACTTTAGCTAATGGGGCCTCCCACTGCCGCCGGAGCACGATTTCTGTTCTCATCCTGAAGCAAAGTTCTTAACCCGAGGTACTATTCCTGGGTTAGCGGAGTCTGTAACCTGAAGCGTATGTAACCTGAAGAGTCTGTAACCCGAGGTACCACTGTACCAGAAATGTTCTGTGATTTATTTTCTCCTGCTCCAGAGGGTAGGCCTCAAACCGATGGCTTCAAGTTGCAAGACAGGAGATGCTGACTAAGCATCAGGAAGAAGTTTCCAACAGCAAGAGCTGTTCGACAGGGGAATGGACTCCCTCCGGAGGCAATCATCATCATCATTTATTATTTATACCCCAACCATCTGGCTGGGCTTCCCCAGCCACTCTGGACGGCTTCCAACAAAATACAGTGGTACCTCGGGTTAAGTACTTAATTCGTTCCGGAGATTCGTTTTTAACCTGAAACTGTTCTTAACCTGAAGCACCACTTTAGCTAATGGAGCCTCCAGCTGCTGCCGCTGCGCTGCCAAAGCACGATTTCTGTTCTCATCCTGAAGCAAAGTTCTTAACCCGAGGTTCTATTTCTGGGTTAGCGGAGTCTGTAACCTGAAGCGTATGTAACCCGAGGTACCACTGTATTAATCTCCTTCATTGGAGATTTTTAAGCCGAGGTTGAATGGCCATCTGTCAAGGATTCTTTAGTTGAGATTCCTGCATTGGACTAAATGATCCTGGAAGTCCCTTCAAACTCTGATTTTATGATTCTCCTACTTTGGTTACCCTTTAGCCCCTCTGGACAGCAATAATGTGCTAGCACTGGGGAAGCACTGCAGAACAAACTAAAGCAGCACAAATTCACCACTAACACATTAATATTGTGTCAAGAACTTGTAAAATGCACCTGCAACAAAGCACAGGTCTGGAGGGGCCCTTATTGCAAGTTTATGAAACATTTTAGTAATTTCAAAACCCCTTGTCTAGAGACCATGCGAGAAACTTCCCCACGGGTAGTGTGGTGTAGTGGTTAGAGTGTTGGACTAGGACCTGGAAGACCAGGGTTCAAATGGCCATGAAGCTCACTGGGTGACGTTGGGCCAGTCACTCGCTTTCGGATTTAACCTACCTCATAGGGTTGTTGTGAGGAAAAAATGGGGAGGAGGGAAACTATGTTCGCCAGCTCCTTGGAGGAAAGGTTAATAATAATAATAATAATAATAATAATAATAATAATAGGCCACCCATTTGTCTGGGTGGCTCCCAACAAAATACAATAAAATTCCAACCATTAAAAACTTCCCTTGAGATGTCTTCTAAAAGTCAAATAGTTGTCAATCTGTTTGACATCTGTTGGGAGGGCATTCCACAAGGTGGGATACAAATGTAATAATAATAAAATAAAAATAAAATAAAATAATAATAACAAAGATAACTCACATTGCCCTGTTAAGTTTCTAAAAACCTGTATTCTGTACAGAGCCCCACTGAGCATGGATCTTAAGGCATGCTTCTTTCTTTCTTTCTAAATCATTTTTTAAAAAGTTATTCTTCAGGTAGAAAACAAAAAAAAATGATTAATTATTACCTGTCTCTTAGGATACTCCACAGCTCACCACCAAGACAGGCTTCCAAGAGCATGTAAACGTATTTGTTGTCTTTGAAAGTGCGGTACATTCTGAAGGGAATTGGAGGGAAATCAATCAGTCAATTAAAATTATTTGTAGGCTATCCTTTATGAGCAAAACTCACACAGGACATTTTACACAATAACAAATTTGTTTATTAAAAATACAATTTCCAGGGGAAAATAATAATACAGTGCAAAACCTCCCATAAAACGCAAGCATCTGAGCACGCTGGAAAATTATTAAGCTAAACCATACCTGGGCTGTGTCATTTTCTATAACAGTGGTTAAAGCTGAATAGAAAACAGAGAAAGCAATTTACTTCACAATGAAGGGAGAGCAGGCTTCTTCTAGAATTTTCTTTTCGGAGTGAATGTGCTCCTGCTGTTTGGTATCCACTATGTGTTTCTTCTTGATACATTTCATGGCAAATGCTATGTTCTCGTTCTTCACTTTCACCTGAGTTGACATTAGGGGGGAAAAACAGTTTAAAGGGGCTACACGATCATAAGCTCCCACCCTCCCCTGGTCCTTCAATTTTTTGCAGAGTAAACAGAACAGAATGATACGTGCTGACCATAATGGAAATTATGTTGATAGGAAAGGGGTTCTCGTCCATATATGTTATAACCCTACAATTAACAAGAATTTTGGAGGAAAATGCCCTTCAATATGAACGGTTTTGTCTAAGACAGTGGTGTCCAAACTTTTTTCAAAGAGGGCCAGATTTGATGAAGTGAAGGGCCATGGGGGCTGACCTTTAGGACTGATGTTGTTGAGGATTTTTTAGGATTTTACCCCAGGAAATAAACTGCCACAGGGGCCGGATTAAACCAATTGGCTCGCCGGATTACGCCCCCGAAACGGACTTTGGACATGCCTATGTGATGTTACCATATGAGAGTGCTGGAGGTGAAATGGTTAAACAAATTACCCAATCAGAACCCAGGGGGGTGGAGCCAGAGGGACTATAAAACCAGCTCTGGGAGGTGCAAAGGGGGGAGTTTGTTGGGTGGTTGGTTGGAGTGGGAGTGAATTGGGATAGAGTCTGTGGGTAGGTTGAATTAGGGTAGCGAAATAAGCTGAGTCAGGAACAGTTAGGAGCTAGGAAGACAAGACAAGATCTGAGAGGTGGTTTAGTGATTGAGAGCAAGTAGTGGAAGTTATAGGTCTGGATAGGCACCCCATGAATGTAATGGACTGATACTGTTTATGAAACCACATGCTTGTTAAACTGCAATAAATAAACAGAAGTTTATGATCCAATTTAACCCTGACTGGACTCAGTATTGTACCAGGTAGGGCCTGGGTGATGGCAGGGAGAAATAAAGTGGTGGCACAGGGATCAATAGATGGTGAAACGTCCAGGGACCCTGTGTGATTGCCACAGCCTGCTCTAAGATATTCGGTGGGGGGGGGGCTATAGGATCAAGCATCCACAGAATATGAAGCTATGGAAAGCCACTAGACCTGAGGATTTAACACGTGAGAACTGCAACAAAGTGTGGCAATATGACGTGCTGCCATTCAAGATTCCAGCCGGTCAATTCCACTCCCTACTTTTCTTTTCTTTTCAGCATTCTATTGGCCATTGAGCACGCTCAGTCCTCATTGGGTAGTTTGCTCTCCCTCCCCCCCCCCGCCCCCAATCACTTAGGATTTTATTCATAAAGGTTTTTATCATTCTGGAATCCCTATTCCCACACTGCTGGTATCTCCCTCTTGTGCAATGGCAATCACAACCTGAACATTAGAAATGGGTGGCGGGCGATATGATTGATTGGTTTGACCCAATTAACTGCAATGAGTCTAAGCCTGTTTATATATTTGGAGGAATCCGCCAGCCAGTCAACTGCTGCCCCTTCCCCAGCATCGGCAGCTTGCAAGATGTGCTGATCGCTAGTGTAATGGAAGGTAGCTCTTAGGGAGAATGGGAGAGGAGCTACCGTTTCTCGCAAGTGCTCAATGACACACCAAGCTCCAGCCAAAGCCCTGCGACGCTGCCATCACGACGCACCCGCCACAATGCCTGCAGCGCAGCCATGGGTGAAGAGGCTGGAGGGTAGGTGGTGAGTCAGCACGCGGGCAGCAAGGCTTCGGATTGGCTGGCTGCTGGCACCAATCAAAGCCCAGCTCCCTTCCTCTGTGGGGCGGGGAGAAGCCAGGAGGGAGGGAGGGAGGGAGGGAGGGAGGAGGCGCCGCTGCGGTGTGTGTGTGGAAAATGGCGCCCAAAAAAATTGCAAAAAAATGGCACAGCCTGAACAATCACGCCGATCCAAGCGGCGATTCCAGGACCGTCCGCGGGCCGGATCCAGAGGGCAATTGGGCCTGATCCGGCCCGCGGACCTTAGGTTGCCAACCCCTGCGTTAGAGAATGCACTTGAAAATATGGGAATTCTGAGGCCCTAGGAAATGCAAGATCATCTACGCTGGCACGGGTACAGCAAAACATTCAGATCAGAAGCGGCAGTAAAAACGTTTAGAAGGCAAATTCTTACAAGTTCCACTCTTCCGAATCCACCAACACCCAGGGTAGCGACAATTTCCAGGTTCTGAAACGGGCAGGAGGAAGGAAACTGGGTTACTTTTTCTTTCAGCTGTATCATCTCCAAAGAGACGTCGCTGGGTAGCTGCTCCAAGGAAGAAACTCTGCATTAAAAAGAAATAAAACACCCCCTTCAGTTCAGTCTCACTGAGTGCGCAACCGAGAATTGCTGCAGTGGTCTGATAACGTTTTTCGAAGTATGCTTTCGACGTTCCCCCACGTCGTTCAAAGGTATCTTTCCTCAAACACCTGGAGCAATGAGCTCACAAATGGCCCTTTTCTGATTGAGCTGGCAGAGGAAAAGACCCCCCCCCAAATTCATTTAAATTATTTTGTTTTTGCAAGCTCAGTTTCAAGACCTTTTCATAGCTCACTGAAGTTTTAAGAAGAAACCACCAGTGTGGATAGGAATGATGGCTTCTTCCTGGCAGAGAGGAAAGGCGTTGTGAGTTATTTGTCCTGGATAAGTCATCAAAGTAACGATGGCAGGTGTGTCTCAATAGGAGAAGACTTCCTAAGAACATCTTGCAGCATTTTTGGTGTCCTTGAATTAGAATGTCTTTAGCGTGTAAAAGGAGAAAAGAATTCCATGACTTCTTACAGGAGAAAAGTTAGCATAAATAATAGGAAAATAGTGTTGTTTTCTTAAAGGAAGATTTGACCGGGAACAGAATGCGATCTTTTTCTAATGAAGTTTTGAGAGTTCCCCCCACACACATGTCAAAAATACATGCAGATGCATTCCAGCTGTCACCTGCTGTTCTGCTGAAAGTCTCTTTTTAGTGGCAGCATTTCATGAGGCATTAAATATTGATTGCAATCTCTCTGTTTGGGTACCTCGGGTCTGAAATGGAATTTGTTTGATGAACAGCCATCTGCTTTTATTGCATCTCTCAGTGGCCTTTTGTAGGTTTATTGTAATGAAGTGAGGGCCAAATAATTTCTCGTCAGAATGCCAATGGTAATTTCTCCAACTTGAGCACTGATTCCTGTTCTGCATTAATGGTCTTTCGGATAATCCATTAAAACTGATCAAAATGAAAACGATACTGAGACTGCCTAATATTGCCTAATATTGCTGTGACGGGTGCCTGTGTTTCCATGGTTCTGATCAGCACTAAAAGGAAAAGTACAGTGCTAGTAGCAGATAAAGTCCATTTGAAGCCACCATCCTTTACAATTAATCCATCCCACATCAGTTTTTACTTAAGGTGACATTATGTCTGCAGTGATGGTGCACATATAGTGATGCTATAAAGCAAACTGTTGTTACCAGGCTAAGTCAGTTTGGACGAGGGCTGGAATGGCTAAAATTGCATGCAGCCCGGGTTAAGACTGCATGCAGCTAGGAATTTCTGAGAAAAAATTAAACAGCTGTGCTTAAGAGCTTCCTATTATCGTTTATGAGAAAGGCAAAGTGGAGAGCATGCATGCAAAAGAACTGAATGGAAAACTAAAAAAATAATTAAGGGAAGGTCCTGGATTGTGGCCAATGCATTGGAATCCCCCTGCTCCATTGCGCAGTGACACTCACAGTGGTGCCATATGTTATGGTAACACAGCCAAAATACTAAAAAAACTCCACCAAAAACAAAAAGGATAGATGGACTGGAAGATATCATCGCTGAGCAGCTCTGCTGGAAAACAACAAAATGCTTCGATGCTGTGATCTTATGTTGCTCTTGTTGTTGTTTAGTTGTGCCCGACTCTTCGTGACCCCATGGACCAGAGCACGCCAGGCACTCCTGTCTTCCACTGCCTCCCGCAGTTTGGTCAAACTCATGTTGGTAGCTTCGAGAACACTGTCCAACCATCTCATCCTCTGTCATCCCCTTCTCCTTGTGCCCTCCATCTTTCCCAACATCAGGGTCTTTTCCAGGGAGTCTTCTCTTCTCATGAGGTGGCCACAGTATTGGAGCCTCAACTTTAGAATCTGTCCTTCCAGTGAGCACTCAGGGCTGATTTCCTTAAGAATGGATCGGTTTGATCTTCTTGCAGTCCATGGGACTCTCAAGAGTCTCCTCCAGCACCATAATTCAAAAGCATCAATTCTTCGGCAATCAGCCTTCTTTATGGTCCAGCTCTCACTTCCATACATCACTACTGGGAAAACCATAACTTTAACTATACGAACCTTTGTTGGCAAGGTGACGTCTTTGCTTTTTAAGGTGCTGTCTAGGTTTCTCATTGTTTTTCTCCCAAGAAGCAGGCGTATTTTAATTTCATGACTGCTGTCACCATCTGCAGTGATCATGGAGCCCAAGAAAGTAAAATCTCTCACTGCCTCCATTTATTCCCCTTCTATTTGCCAGGAGGTGATGGGACCAGTGGCCATGATCTTCGTTTTTTTGATGTTGAGCTTCAGACCATATTTTGTGCTCTCCTCTTTCACCCTAAATCCGAGATGCCGCAAGAGTTTTTGAGGTCTCAGTTAGCTTGTGAATTTGCGGGACTTGAAAGTGGCTGGAAAATGCTGAACGAAAAGTAAATAAATAAACAGACAAAAAACACAGCAACTTGGGTCACCCATGAGTCCAAAATCGGAGGCGCTGCTGTCTGTATTCCCTTTTAGCAGGTCTGCTGTCGTAATGTAGATATGCGCCACCAACCCTACAGAGTGTTGAAGAGGTTACTTTCCATACAATTTCAAGGATCAGCTGCAAGACTTACTGAGCTTGTCTTTTTTCATCGTCCCGAGCCAGGGTGGCCACATAACCCGCAAGGTATGCCTGGAGTTCTTCAAAAGTCCCAACTGTTTGATTGAAGGTTCTGCAGAACAAAAGGAATGAACCAACATGGAAGATCATTGCTAGAAGTGACGAGAACACATTTTCGTCAGTTTGTCTCTCCCCCCCCCAATTAAATATACCACAGAAGTATCTTTGATTTCTACTTAGATCTCGTTAGCCAGACATATGGTAATGAATAAAAACGCCCAGAGATAATTGCTGTGTTTGAACGGAACAGCTTCAATGGGCAAACACTGCATGAGGCTGCAATACACACAGGCACTGAAAAACCTGGTTGTCATATTGATACATATGCTGTTATGGGGGATGACATTGTCTTGTGCTGTATAAGTGATAAAGGGGAGCCACATCGGGGTCAAGGCATCCTCCTTTGCTTGTCCCCGTGCTAGTTTAAGTTTGTTGGTTAAATGTTCTAGTAGGGCAGTTTCTCATAAATTTTGGTACCAGCTGTCTATGTTCACTCCTGATAGGACCTTCCAGAGTCTAGTTGTAATGTGTTAGGAACTGGGCAGAGGAGAAATGGTGGAGACTGCCTCCTCCTTCCAGGGAGGAGGAGGAGGAAGGCAGTATAGATTTACAACAGGGGTTTGAGGGAGGTCACAGCTCAGAGGCAGATGAGGGCAAAAGTTGGGAAATTGTGGGCGAGTCAGAACAGCTGGCTGACATGTTGTCACTAGAAAGCATTCCAGACCCACCATCTACCAGAACCCGGTGGGCCTTAAAAGTAGGAGAGCAAAGAGCTCGAAGACAGAGTGCACTTAGCGGCACCCATAGAGGAGGTGATGATGATGATGAACAAGGAAGTGGGAGAGACAGGAGGGTGGAGATTCATTTGGGACAACACCATTATCCAAGAGGCTTGGTTCTAGAGCCTCTCTCTGTAAAGTTTGAAATAAAAAAGGACCGTAAGAAACTTTTCCTTGCCCTTTATACTTTCCTGGGCAACCAGCTCACAGTATCCTGACATGATGTTTCTAGCTGCTGAAAGTGACCTATGAGCTCCTTGTCATGTGTATGTGTGTTGTTGTCCTGGGAGATATTTAATGGGGCTAGTTCTGGAGTTGCATCTATTACAAAACCCTAAACAAACACGATGCGATAGAATGAAATAACATTAGCCCTCCACACCTCTCTCTCCCCACTTTCTTTCCCCCACAACCGCATGGTGTCTATGACAGTACTGTCTCATAGCAAATGTAATCAAACCGTGAAAAAGACTCCATTAATTGAAAATGGAGACACTGTTTTCCTTGTTTATGTGCTTGTTTTTGTAACACAAGAAAATATTTAATAAAAACCAATTATAACGAAACAAAAAACCTGATTGCACCTGCTTGAATGCAATTATAGGAAATTAACACTCTGTGACAGTCCTTCACAACTTCTGACCCACCAAGCTGAACTCACATCACCACACTATGTAGTGTGGCCCGCAGGGAACTTCATTAACCTATATTTGCTGACTGCAAAAACAAGAGCGGTTTGACAAGAAACAGGCAGAGAAGGGTGTGTCAGAAAGAGAGAGAAAGAAAAAGGATGGTACAGAGAGAGAGAGAGAGACAGATAGACAGACAGACAGACAGACAGACAGAGAGGAATGGGGATGTTTCCAAACTGTCGCTATTTTCAGATGGGACTGGCAAACTCAGGGTGTGCGATTAAAGTTGATTTGAAGAAATGAGCAGTTTGTGGATAAGCAGTCTTTTAGTAAACCTCATCTCCCATGAATGATTTAGCACACTGGCAAACTCAGGTTGTGGAATTAAAGTCTATTTTGTGCTCTTGTGCAACAAACCTGAACATTTTGTGATAAGGACAGGGGTGGGAAAATGCATTGGAAAAAGTGAGATAACATTTGCTTGAGTCAACATCATATAACTCATCCCGCAAACGAATGAGAATGAATGCTCAGTAAATAGCTGACATCCTCAAATGTGCCCACACTTTGTGCAAACAAACCAGGATGGATGTTTGGTAAACAGGGCGTCTGGGACAGGCAGGAGAGAGAAAAGGGTAGCAGAGTGAGAAAAGGGACTAAGTGGAAGTTACTTATTTTGGATACGATCCAGGAATCAACTTCTGATGGACTCTTAATTTTCACTGATTTTGAAAGGTATGAAGTATGTGTTTAAATCTCTCCTACAACCAACAACGGGACTTTCTGCGCCTTTAGTAGGGATGTCGGGGAATTGCAACAAAACCAGAAACAGAAGTGAAAATTCTTGCAGTCTTTGTGTTCACCTGTGCTCAGGAATGGAAATCAGCCGAGTGTGTGCAGTTTGTAATTGTTCGCATCGTTGTTGCTGTTTTCTCAAACAACAAGTAGTTACTTAGTTGTTGTTTTTTAAAATCGTTTTGCTGTTTCATTTGCGTTGAAGTAAAAAGTTACCTAAGCTACATCACTTTACATCAAATAGCAGACAAATAACAAAATATCTAGCGGAAACCAAACTGCAGCGGAATGGAAGCAGCGCTAATTGTGCCCCGAGAAGAGAAGACTGAGCGGTGACATGATAGCCATCTTCAAGACGGAGCGAGTTTGTTTTCTGTTGCTCCAGAGCAGGGCTCAGCAACTTTTTCAGCAGGGGGCCGGTCCACTGTCCCTCAGACCTTGTGGGAGGCCAGGCTATATTTTGGAAAGATGAAAAAATGATGCAAGAGCACAAGGAGCCCCGGTGGCTGCTTACCTGTGTCTTGTGAGTGGTAGGGGCTGGCAGTGGCAGCGGTGGAGGGATGATGAGCGGCGCATGACAGGGCTCCGGAGAGGGGCTGGCTACTTAAAATGGCGGCCACTCGAGCGCTGCTGCTGCTGCTGGCAGCAACAAAGCCCAGTCCCCTTCCTCCTCTAGGCAGGGCAGGGAGAAGCCAGGAGGAGGGAGGGAGGAGTAGGCAGTGGTGGCGCCTTGAGAGGGAGAGGGAGGGAAAGAATGTGCACGTGCTGGCGATCCATGCGGCGATTCCCAGACCATCCGTGGGCCAGATCCAGAAGGCAATTGGGCCTGATCCAGCCCACAGGCCTTAGTTTGCCTACCCATGTTCCAGAGGATAGGACATGAAGCTATAGATTCATATGACAAGAAAGGAAGATTCTGACTAAACATTAGTAAGAACTTTCTAATGATATGAGCTGTTTGACTGTGGGCAGCACAAAGTCACAAAGATGCCACTTACTCTCTGTCTATGACCAGGCACTCCACGTCGTTTTCGTCAGCAATTATATTAGCAGACCTGACGTCGTCACTGCAAACGGAAAGAAAACAAAGCATCACACTGTCTAAATTGTTCTGTCCAATACAGAGATATTAAAAAGTGGCGTATTAGATGTCAGCTTGCGTACAGTTGTCAGAAGTGGTGCATGAGGAGGACGGAACAGCAGGACAGATCTCCCAGAGGTGCTGAGCTCGCTAGGAAAGGCTTGAGGTGCAGTGGTGGCAAGGTTACGGAAACCCTGGGCTGGCAGTGGCAGCCTGCAGGAGACTAATGGCGCCAACCCAAGCTTCTGCAACCTCACAGATGCCTTGCTCCACCCCTGTCAGGGCTGTCTTACCCATAGGTGCTAGGAGTGCGGGGCATCTGAGGTGGCCATCTGACTCCGCCCTCCTGAGCACCTAGGACTGGGCAACCTGGGGGCTTGGATCTTTGCACCCCAGCGCCGCATATGCTTAAAACAGCCCTGACTCCTGTCGCAGTGAACACAGCACCGGTGGGGTGCTGCTCATCTGCTCCCTACCCTCCCGTCATGGATCATAGTGGAAGCTAAAACATCATTTATTTGATAACAGTTTATATACTGCTTCATTGTAGAAAAAAGACCCTCAAATCACAGCAGAACACTTAAATACAACTGAAACTGAAGAGACTCAGGCTGCAAGTTGTGGGAGGATAAATCAGTGGGGGAAATGGGCAGCACAAATATTCATTATTTTAATTTTAATTTTTTAAATAATTTTTATAAATTTTCCATTTAAACATATATAATCACATCATTATTATCCACTTTACATCTTCGGCTCTTTAAAGCCTGTCAATTTCCTTCCCTCCCGCCTCTTGGCTTTCAAAACTAATCTTTATATCACAGCATTTTATATGTTTTCCAGTTCTAATATAACTCATTACAAAATACCTCGCAGTTTAAATAAATATAGAAAGGTAAAACGTTTCTCATTACAAGTCTTCAGATAACCCTACTAGTGTTGTCAATTGCTTACAGTGATCTTTCAAATATTGTATAAATTTACTCCAGCCTTTTTGGAATACTTGATCGTGCTGGTTTCGGATTTTTCGCGTCAGCTTCGCCAGTTCTGCAAATTCCATCATTTTCATCTGCCACTCTTTTTTCGTTGGTACTTCTTGTTAAATATTCATAATTTTTATGTCAAAATGGTTAGTCAATTTCCCCCTTAGGATTGTGCTTAAGACTCATATTCCCAAGTCCTGCTCCTGAACTCCTCAGCCACCCCACATCATAAACACTTTTAGACGCAAATGTGAATGCTAGCGATTTTTAAAAGCAATTTCCAACTCACCTGATCAGGGCCTTTTCCCCGAAGTAATCTCCTTTCTGCAGCGTTTTAATGAGCTGAGACTGTGTCTGACCTTCTGCAGTTTGGGTAACCTTAACCTAGGATTTGGAGGGCTACATGTTACACAATCACTTGTCAAACGCAAATACAATGATACCAAGGCCACGTTCGCACCGTACATTTAAAGCACCACGGTACCACTTTAAAAAGTTGTGGCTTCCCCCAAAGAATCCTGGGAGCTGTAGTTTGTTCAGGATGTGGAGATTTGTTAGGAGACCTCTGTTCTCCTCACAGACCTACAATTCCCAAAACTCCTTGTGAAGCAGGGTTGAGAGTTAAACCACTTTGGGAACTGAAGTTCTGTGAGGGAAACAGGGCTCTCTTAACAACTCTCGGCACCCTTAACAAACTAAAGCTCCCAGATTTTTTTTTTGGGGGGGGGAGCCAAGTGCTGCTATTGTGCTTTAAATATGTGGTGTGAATGTGATCACAGTTGTTTCATCACCCATACAATTTATCATCCTAGTTTATCAACAAGAACCACCATTCTTGAGCTGGGCTACTGTTTAGAGTTCTTTGTCAGGTTAGGGTTGTTGCTGTTATTGCTATTAATTTTTGGTATCTGTAATTTAGATCTTATTATGATTTATGTGGAAACTGCTCAGTTTGGTTGTGCATTTCCTGATGTTTTATTTATTGTTTATGACTACTGTTGTTATGTCGTAATTATCTATTACAACTATATACAGTGGTACCTCAGGTTACATACGCTTCAGGTTACAGACTCCGCTAACCCAGAAATAGTGCTTCAGGTTAAGAACTTTGCTTCAGGATGAGAACAGAAATTGTGCTCTGGTGGCGTGGCGGCAGCAGGAAGCCCCATTAGCTAAAGTGGTGCTTCAGGTTAAGAACAGTTTCAGGTTAAGAACGGACCTCTGGAACGAATTAAGTACTTAACCTGAGGTACCACTGTATTGCAAAACATATAACTATACTGGGAAGAAACGGGATTCTGCAACCTTTAATGCATTTTTCCACCTCAACTTCCCACTTGACCAGCTCATTTGTCTGCATATTCAGACAGTCAATCTTTGCAGGACTGAACTGCTATATGCATTATTAACAGGCTGAGCGTTTGATTTTGCCTCATTATTAAAAAAGAATAAGTTATCACAGAGGCGGGTGACCTAAAAATGTTAAGCATTTGGAGCAGATTTCTTAAAAGGAAAGCCTACTTCGTTTTGGACTTCTTCGTTTAGGGAAGATTTGATTATGGGGAAAGGGGAAACATGGTAGCCATGTTTTATAATATTATGTATGGCGCGAAGAAAGTTGAGAGCAACTTATCTGAGGATATAACAACTTGGGGTCATTCAGGAAAGACAAAACAAAACACTTGTTTTACATGAGGCATATTTGTTCATAAAAATTATTTATACACCGCTGTATCATAAAAGTATACCACAGTGGTTCGCCGCAATATAAAAACATAAAACCAGACAATAAAATCATAACAAGTTAAAAGGAAAAAATAAGTGAAAAGGAAAAGGAAAATAAAAACAGACTTCAATAGACCATTGTGGGGGGTCTACTCTAAACTGCCTGCATAGCCCATAGATTGGATTTGCTGGCACAGAATACTGTGCTGTCCACTGCAAAAGGTGGCTTTAAAAAATGATGAGAAAAATAAAGGAGGATATATCTCTTGATATCCACTAGTCATGATGGCTTAGCAGCTATTCACGCCCTGCTTGTGAGCTATATGGAGCAGGGGTCGGCAACCTAAGGCCCATGGGCCACAAGTGACCCACAGGGGTCATTTTACCGGTCCATGAGCCACCCCGAACCAAGCCGCCTGCTAGGCGAGTCCCCATGTGCTGCACTAAATGGGCGCAGCGCGGCACAGGGACTCGCTTTTGCAGCACTGGAAATCGCATCTGCGCAAATGCCAGAAATCGTAGGGTCAGGCGCTCACACGCACCCGCAATCCAGCCCACGGAGGGGGCTCTGCAGCAGTGAACCAGCCCAGGCAAGGTAAGCCTTGCCAACCCCTGATATGGAGGCTTCTGATCAGCCACTCTCATAACCAGGGCACTGGATTTGATGGACCTTCGATTCATCCCAGCAGAGATCCTCTTGTGTTTTAAAATAGGCTTGGGAAGCCAGTAGCCACATAGATGCCATTTGTTGATGAAATATACTTGGAGTCGAAAGTGGATTTCATGCTCTTTATTCAGCTCATAGTGGTGAGGAGGAAAGGAAGTTCCCCCAGGATGTCTGCTTTATATACATTATTTACGCAATGGGCCCCACATGATTGGCTAATTCTGTGATTCTCCTGTAGGCCAATCAGGTTGCGGATTCACTTCCACCTGGAGCTGGATTGGGTGGCTCCTGTGGACCAATCAGTCTGCTGCATTCTGAATCCTATTGTTCTAGGACCAGACTACTGCATTCTGAATCCTATTGTTCTAGGATCAATCAGAATGCTGCCTTTTGGGTCCTATTCACCATCCGTCTGCTATCACCCATGCTGACTGAGGCTGATAAGAGTTCATCAGCACCTGAAACGGCACAGGTTCCCTAGCCCCCCCACTTTTAAAAAAACAACAGCATTTGATTGTAGATTGGAACCCACCAAACACAACATGATGAAATATCTTGCAGGAAGCCCAATCCGTTCCCAGATTTGCCAGCTCCCAGATTCAATAAGCAAATTGCCTGAGATGTGCCCAACACAGACCGATTCCTGCCAGCACATATTTGCTTGCTTTCTCTGAGCGAACTGCAGACGTGTTTATCCCTGGCGCTTGCCAACTGGTAACGCGCCATCTGTGTCTATTCCGGCATGTCGGCTGAGCTGCTCGTTCCCCGATAGTTAACACATAAATGTTTTTTAATTAAGTCCCTTCGCCCTCTGCATTAAAAAAAGGAAATATTTTGTTCTGTTTTTCAAATGAAGCTTTTGAAGGCTTTGACTGGGCTCCACAGTTATCTTAAAAGGTAAAGGGACCCCTGACCATTAGGTCCAGTCGTGACCGACTCTGGGGTTGCGGCGCTCATCTTGCTTTATTGGCCAAGGGAGCCGGCATACAGCTTCTGGGTCACGTGGCCAGCATGACTAAGCCGCTTCTGGCGAACCAGAGCAGCGCACAGAAGCGCCATTTACCTTCCTGCCAGAGTGGTACCTATTTATCTACTTGCACTTTGACGTGCTTTCAAACTGCTAGGTTGGCAGGAGCAGGGACCGAGCAACGGGAGCTCACCCCTTCGTGGGGATTTGAACCGCCGACCTTCTGATCGGCAAGCCCTAGGCTCTGTGGTTTAACCCACAATTATCTTGGGCATACGTAAAACCTTGGGCACATACAGCTGTATTTTCACTTTGCCATCCAGCACTTGTTGTTGGTATTGATTACCCACCCTATGCCTCAAGGTCCCAGGGTGGGTTACAACATTAAAACACAATATTAAAAACAGTTTAAAATAACTTGCAACTCCCCAAATAAAGTGGGTCCTAAAATATACTCCTCAAGTGTCAAAAACCAGGGTAAAGAGGTGCATCTTCATCATTAGCTGGAAGCTGCGCAATGAAGGTGCCAGACACATCTCTGTGGGGAAGGAGCTCCACAGCTTAGGAGCCACCACCGAGAAGACCCTTTCCTGGGCAACCACCCAAGTCTCTGGGGATGGAGGAACTTCCAAGAGGGCCCCCTCTGCTGATCTCAGTACCCAATAAGGTCTAAGGAGCAGAGGAGGGGATATTTCAGATATCTTTCTGACCTTAAATCAGGTCAGAAACGAACTGGCAACAATGGAGCTGTTTTAAAAATGTGGCTATGTGTGATCTAAATGGAGCCCCAGCTGATATTCTAGCTGCTGCATTTCGGACCAATTGAAGTTCCTGATTCATATTCAAGGGCAGCTCCATAAAGGTAAAGGTAAAGGGACCCCTGACCATTAGGTCCAGTCGTGGCCGACTCTGGGGTTGCGGCGTTCATCTTGCTTTATTGGCTGAGGGAGCCGGCGTACAGCTTCTGGGTCATGTGGCCAGCATGACTAAGCTGCTTCTGTCGAACCAGAGCAGGTCACGGAAACACCGTTTACCTTCCTGTTGGAGCAGTACCGATTTATCTACTTGCACTTTGACGTGCTTTTGAACTGCTAGGTGGGCAGGAGCAGGGACCAAGCAATGGGAGCTCACCCCGTCGCGGGGATTCGAACCACCGACCTTCCAATTGGCAAGTCCTAGGCTCTGTGGTTTAACCCACAGCGCCACCTGCGTCCCTGCACAGCCCTTAAAAAAAAGCATGCAAATGCATATTTTACCACAACATACATATTTAAATACATATTTTATACATGTGTTTTTAATATATGTATTTTAAATACAGGCAACTACTAATTTGTGTGGGGGTTATGTTCCAAGGCAATGCACCTAGGTGAAATCGCATATATTTGAAACACCATAGAAAAAGCCTCAAAATGCTCTGTTCCTGCCTCATCCCACCCCACCGCATTCTGCCCTGTTCCACCCCTTTTTGTGATGTTTGTGTGACTTTTGGGGTCATTTCCAGGTTTGGCCTGATGTGCATATGCCTAAAATCGTCGCTTCCTGAGCATATTTTAAGTATTCATTTCTAGAACTATTTCATTCTAAAATACGCATTTTTATGTTCTTTGGTAGACTCTTCGAGCAGAAAAGTGTGTTGCGGAATTCACAGAAATCCAAAGAATAGTTATGTTTAAAATCTGTGTATTATTGGTGCACAAGCTGCAAAATCGATTGGTTGGCTTAAAAAGGAAGTGTAAACCAAATTCTCCTCCGCCCCTAACTGTGACCTTCATTTCAACATCGCTCAAGTCCTTGGAAGAGGCAGAACAGTCATCTGTTGTGATTGCAACCAAACAAACCTTCATGCTCCTACCCTTTGGCAAATATACCTGTGCATTTTCAGTGGCAACTTACCTTCCCTTTGGATATAACAAAGAAGGTGTTTCCTTCCTCTCCCTCCCGAATAACATAATCACCTTTGTCATAGTATTCCTAGGGGGCAGAAATAATGCAGATTATAAGAGGATGTAGCAACCCATTGAGAGCCTTCCGGGGGCCGAAGGGGGGGGGGAACACACCAGCATTTTACAGAACATTGTCAAGCGTGTAGGTTTTAATATAGACAATTATTTAAATTCGTACCAATCCCCACAGTTCAGAGCCAGATAAAAAGGTTGAATTATTCAGTCTGCTTAAAGCACAGGTGGATTGGGGTATACACCTTTCAAGCAGGGATAATCCCAGTGTTACATAACTGCAACTTCCTTGTGGACTTCCTGTAACTGGGCAAGAGAATGCTTCTGAGCAGGTAAGATCATGCAAATTCCGAAGAGACTACAGCTGTTGATAGTGGCGGCAGGACAAGGATCAAGCATCCAGCTCAACAGCCTGCATTTTCTTTGAAGCGAGATGCTATTCTTCTGCATTGTATCAATACCACTGAGACTTAAAGGTTAGGGAGGTGTAGCTGGGCAGGGTGTGACCTGGGGCAAATCATTGGATTTTTCGCTCCATAAGACAAACTTTTTTCCTCCTTAAAAGTAAGGGCAAATGTCTGTGCGTCTTATGGAGCGAATGCGTGGCCCCTGGAGCCGTATTGCCCGGGGAGAAAAGCAGATTGTGCTTTTTTCTTTTTTCTTCTTTAGAAAGAGGGAAGGGGGGTGTTCAAATGAAACCGCTGAGGAGCTGATCGGCAAGCAGTCAGGAGGGAGATAAGGGATGCTAGCGATAAAGGAGGCTGCCTGGGAGGGGGGAGGTAAAGACAGTGAACTTGCAAGGAGAGGAGACAGGAATACCAAAACAAGCAATGAGGAGAGAAATTAGAAGAAAAGGAGGAGCAAAAAACTGCTCCGGCTAAGGAAAAGACGCTAAGGCAAACAAGAGGGAAGGGGGTGTTGAAACGAAGCCACTGAGCAGCTGATCGGCAAGCGATCAGGAGGGAGATAAGAGACGCTAGCGATAGAGGAGGCTGCCTGCGAGGGGGGAGGTAAAAGCACATGGATTCTCAGGATTTTTGCATTGGGTCAGCCAAAATTCACATAGCATGTCCATGGCTACAGCCTGCAACAACAACAAAATCACACATCCACTGTTTCTTTCAGAATATTTTTTTCTTGTTTTCCTCCTCTAAAAACTAGGTGCATCTTATGGTCAGGTGCGTCTTATGGAGCGAAAAATACAGTATGCAGGGCAGCCTATTATGAAGGGGAATTGCATAAGAAGGGCACTGCTGGCTCAGCATCCTGTTCTCACTGTGGCTGACCAGATACTCATGGGAAGCCAGAGTGCACCTAAATGCAGTGTGATGGCAGTGGGGATGAGAGCTTTCCTTTCTTCCCCCAGACTCCAAATGCTATTATGTAGCACCCCACAAAGATTCATCCAGACTACTTCTTCCTTCCTGGCAGACACTCCTCTCCTCTCTGCAAAAATCTCGCCCTTCATTAGCATTATCCCCTCCTGCCTTGTTACCTTTAAAAGTCAACCTTTAAATAAGAACCTGAGTCACCGTTGGCTGCCGTCCCTGGAAACCTTCGAAGTGGAGGTGTAAGAGAAATACAGTGGCAAAAATGTGTGTCTAGGCAAACAGACAGGATGAGCTTGTTTTGGCCTCAGCTCAAATGCAGCCGCCTTGAGAAAAATGGCACATGAGGTTGACAGAAGCAGTAGATGGGGTATTTATTCTGCATCCAAACAGCTCAGTAGCTCACTAATATGAAGAGGTAAGGTAAAGGTAAAGGGACCCCTGACCATTAGGTCTAGTCGTGACCGACTCTGGGGTTGTGGCACTCATCTCGCTTTATTGGCCAAGGGAGCTGGCGTTTGTCTGCAGACAGCTTCCGGGTCATGTGGCCAGCATGACTAAGCTGCTTCTGGTGAACCAGAGCAGCACATGGAAACGCCGTTTACCTTCCTGCCGGAGCAGTACCTATTTATCTACTTGCACTAGTATGCTTTTGAACTGCTAGGTTGGTAGGAGCAGGGACTGAGCAATGGGAGCTCACCCCGTCGTGGGGATTCGAACCACCAACCTTCTGATCGGCAAGTCCTAGGCTCTGTGGTTTAACCCACAGCGCCACCCGCGTCCCATACGAAGAGGTAGCATCTCAAATTATTTCTTTGGGGCTATAACTCTCCCCAGTCCTGGCCAACATGGCTACTCTGGCGGCAGCTGATGGGAGTTGTAGTTCCGAATATCTTTCAAAAATCTCAGGCCACAAGAATTGCCATGACTTTTGTTATGTATTCAGTGGTCTGTCTTTGCCTGAGCTTGAGTCTGCACTAAGGATTCTGATCCCCTGTGTTCTGATTGGATACATGATATCCAATCACAGAACATTTCAGTATTTGGGCCTCTGCCATTGGCCCTTAAACTCTGAGTTATGATTCGCAGCTTGGAAGTCTAGACAGCCAATCATGTTGGGAGTGGGAGTGGCCCAGGCCTTCAGAAATGTATATAAGCAGTTGCTTTGCCCCTGTTGCCCAGTTCTGTTAGTTCAATAAAGGTTCTTGCTGTTATCACTGTGTCCTGCCTCGTGGGAGACCACCTACACTTCAACTTCCCTAAAAAGTATTCAGAACCGCCAATATTGTTAGGGCTGTTTGTGTGGTTTGGCCAGCCCTACAAACAGTCTGTGCCAGACTATTGTTCTGATGGAGGTGTTGCCAAATGGAAGGAGTGCATTGTGAACCTTGAAAGAAATTCAGATCGCTCATGATAAGGCATTAGCAAAAAAGAGGGAAAGAAAGGAAAGAGGGGGAGGCAGGTGTATTGACGATCAGACAAAGGCTGAGCACGGATCCCACTCAAAATATTTTGAATGTCTCTCAAATTACATTTCCTATTCCTCACCAAATCACTCTGCAACACTCTTCTGCAGAAAAAAGTTCCACTGAAATTAAACGGCACATTTACTTCCAAGTAATATATCTCAGGATTGGAGATATAAAGCGCTAAATGAGATCCATTTCCTGCTCATTTGTTCTACCGGAGAATAAAGCCATATACTTGCAACGCCATAAAGTGTGCATTAAACCAATATGCCCAGAGCTGTTCACACATAAAACTGCCTGCTCATTTACAATGACAAATACATAAGCAAAAGCAAAGAGATAAAAAGCCTACTAATAATTTTAGGTTTCAAATAATTATTCCAGTTGCAAGATCATCGTTATATTTTTATATCCAGAGAAGGAAAAATGAGTAGTGTAGAGAAAAATCTAGCATTTGTTCTAGACAGCTCTGTACAGTTTTTATCAGTCACTATCGCTACTTCATTAATTCTGGTTACTTGATAGACAGAGGAGGAAAGGCTGGCTTCCATAAGTTTCATCACAGCAAGTATTTCGTTACAGATAATTGCCATAATGTCAAGAGCTATTTTAAGCGCTCCTTGGGGCTCGCACGCACAAAGTCTTCTTGGAACAGCAAAATCCACATGCTTTTCGCCGCAAGCGATGTGATTTGGGGGTGTTACTGACCGCATCCATGCGATACATTTAAATCAGCAGAATTCAACTTTAGCTTTGTGGAATCCTGGGAACTGTAGCTTGTTAATGGTGCTGAGAGTTGTTTAGGAGACCCCTATTCCCCACACAATGCTACAATTCCCATAATTCCCTGGGAAGAAGGATTGATTGCTAAACTGCTCTGGGAACTGCAGCTCTTTGAGGGGAACAACTCTTAACAAACTGAGGTTCCCATGATTCTTTGGGGGAAGCCATGATAGTTTAAAACCAGGAACCTGGCAGAGGGCCTTCTCGGTGGTGGCGCCCGCCTGCCCTGTGGATCGCCCTCCCATCAGATGTCAAAGAAATAAACTACTATCTGACTTTTAAAAGACATCTGAAGGCATCCCTGTTTAGGGAAGATTTTGATATTTGATGAATTATTGTATTTTAATATTTTGTTGGAAGCCAGCCAGATGGATGGGGTATAAACAAACAAACAAACAAACAAATATTATTAAAATTGTATGGCACTGTTCTTGATATATGATGTGGATGTGGTCACTGTCTGAGAAACACAAGCCCGTAATATGGTCATTTTTGTGATGACACTACAATCAGCTAAAAACAGATTTCCCACACCGTCAATCATCACTTCTTTGTGCAACTGTAATTTTTGAAATATTCCCCAATGTTAAAAACAACAGCTCTGGGTATAGAAAATTATCATAACTAACTAGGCTTAGCTGTCCTACTAACATGCTGGCTTTCCAGTGCCGCAGGAAAGACATAGTCTTGCTCTTCTGGAATATTTGGTGATTTTAGTTAAAGTTCAGCCACTTGGCCTACTGTTCTATACCCGCTTATTAGGGAGTGTGTCCCCACCCCCGAGTAAACATATATAGGAATAGACAGCAAAATCTGCCCATTTCCCATGCGGCAATGAGAGCTAAACCAGTTAGTGCCCTTGAACTCTTGATCAAAAGGTTTTTGCTCCAATGGAGGCATCCACTAACAGAAGAGGAGTATTTTTCCAATCTTCCCTTCCCCTGGCCCCCCATGCCACCTTCTACTGAAAGTGTAGCCCACTTTCTATCCTCTTCCAGAGGGTCCCCTCAACTCTCTGGAGCTGATTTTCCAGAGGCACTGCAGGATCAAAAGCCCTTTGGTAGAGCACAAGGGCACCAGCTGAATTCTGCCAGTTACTTAAAGTGGATGTGAATCTACAACACATTATTTTATACCACGTAATCCCAGGTTAACTGCTGTCTGTCATACAGGATTTTTCCTGAAGCTTTAAAACAGAATACAAGAGATCTCATTGGAAGCCCATGCCACTGGGTATAAAACTACTTACCACTTCCAAGCAGTCTATAATCTTTGTCAGTTTATCTTCAGGTAGATTCTTCAGCAGAGAAACACTTTGAAAGATAAATATCAAAGGATTGCATTTAATTCAACTTGTATGTAGAGTTTCAACTCCTATACACAGTTTCAGCTTTCCTGTTGTAGACATTTATTGTCGGAGTAGCTGAGTTCTTTTTAGTTATTGTTACGTTTTAGGGTTCTTACAATCGAGTGGTGTATAAATATTATGACCTAAATAAAATGAATGCTTCTCCCAATCCAAAAGGATATTATCCATGATAACTCTCAAAACAGAAATTATCCGAGCAAGTGAATGATGCTCAGATAGGGGGTACTGATATAAGGCTTAGCAATAGCACAGGAGAACCAATGTGAGCTAAATAATTGAAAATATACCCCTGAAAAAATGTGTTCTTCAGTGCGTTCAGCACCATGTAGTTATAATGGAATATTTTGTTATTATTTAAGTTACCTGCTTCCTATTCAGATATGCTGCTAAATAGTTGTGACAGAAATAAGAGCTCTACTGAGGTTAAAAGGTAAAAGGGACCCCAGACCATTAGGTCCACTCGTGACCGACTCTGGGGTTGCGGAGCTCATCTCGCTTTACTGGCCGAGGGAGCCAGTGTACAGCTTCCGGGTCATGTGGCCAGCATGACTAAGCCGCTTCTGGCAAACCAGAGCAGCGCACGGAAACACCGTTTACCTTCCCGCCGGAGCGGTACCTATTTATCTACTTGCACTTTGACGTGCTTTTGAACTGCTAGGTTGGAAGGAGCAGGGACCGAGCAATGGGAGCTCACCACTAAGGTTAGTTGCATGTTAAAAGCAAGTGTGCTTAATCTTGCCCTCTTCTTTTGGAGGGACAAGCTAACATCACATGTAATTTGGCCCTGAAATTCTCTTCCCTGCACAAGCCCACACACTCTTGAAATGCAGCCCTTCAGCTTTGAACTATATACACAAGGAGCAACACAGAAGAACAGCTGACTTGACCCAAAGCTGAGACTGTCCCAGAAGGCCTGCAGACTCCATCTTGGTAGTCAAGATAATCCCAAAACTATTTGGTAGTTATAAGAATGAGCTCATATATAAGTTTATATTCACTTGTGTGGATATATGCTAATTGACTTGCTTTGGTGCTATCTGGGGGTCCTGGAATGCTGGGCTCTTGTACGCCTTGGATAGTTTCCACTTATGCCCTGATGGTAAGCTCTGGCCAAGCTGACATATGTTGATCTTTGTATAAGTAATGTACAGTGGTACCTTGGTTCCCAAACGGCTTAGTTGCTGAACAAATCGGCTCCCGAACGCCACAAACCTGGAAGTAAGTGTTCCGGTTTGTGAACGTTTTTTGGAAGCCAAACGTCCGACACGGCTTCTGCTTGAATGCAGGAAGCTCCTACAGCCAATCGGAAGCTGTGCCTTGGTTTTCAAATGGTTTCAGGAGTCAAATGCACCTCTGGAACAGACTAAGTTTGAGAACCAAGGTACCACTGTATACAGTGGTACCTCGGGTTACATACGCTTCAGGTTACATACACTTCAGGTTACAGACTCCGCTAACCCAGAAATAGTACCTCAGGTTAAGAACTTTGCTTCAGGATGAGAACAGAAATCGGGCAGTGGCAGCGTGGCAGAAGCGGGAGGCCCCATTAGCTAAAGTGGTACTTCAGGTTAAGAACAGTTTCAGGTTAAGAACACACCTCCGGAACGAATTAAGCACGTAACCAGAGGTAACACTGTACACATTTGCCTGGGTGAGGGCAAGTCGCAACAACCTCTCCCTGTTGCAGTGTCCGTGCTGTGTCTGTAAAGACAGTGAGGCTCTGCATGCTTTGTTGTAAGTTTACACCTTTCTTTAATAAAGCACTAGAGCTGGTCATTCTGGCATTTATGACATCCTTCTTTGGTATCTCCACATCAAACCACTCACTTAGGTTCTCCTTTGGGCCTGTGGTTCAAAACACCAGCCCATCTGAATCAGATCTGATCATATCTGGATCAGATATGGTAGAGGATAGCTCAGTTAGCAGAGCATTAGATTCTTGATCTCAGCACCGTGGATTCGAAGCCCAGATGCCCACAGGAAGCCCCTGAGCAAAACCTGAGGGCAACAGCACTCTCCTCAACTGGTATTCTGAAGCATACAATGGAAGGAGAACATTGTCACTGCAAATAGCCACTGATAGCCTTTCTATCTCTGAATATAGAGCCACACAAGTTGTGGGCTACAAGAGAAAATCAAAATACCTGCAAGAAACCTGGCCTTCTAATACAATTTTTAAGCTGATTTTAATACTGTACCATTGTGTTATAGTAACCTGCCCTAAGGCCAGCAAGAAATTCTGTAAATAAAATTTTCTTAGTCAGCAAGGCTGCTCTCAAGACATATTGCTGTGTCTGCCTCATTGACTTTATTTACTAAATATAGATGTAATTGAAATCAGTAAATGTCCATGGCAGACTTGCAGATACTTCACCCACAATCAGTGAGGCATTAAGTGGGTACTTGATGTCAAAGCAGCTTGCAGTAAGGAATTAAATAAAAACATTCAAATCTGAATTGCTAGAGAAGTTTTACTTGGCAATCTGTTCCAAGGCTCTGCCATCTAAAAACAAGAGGATTGAATGACTGACTGATAATCTTGGATCTCTGCTTATTTTCAATAATATACAGTTGGGCTTCTTCCAGATGACCTGTTTATTGAACATTCAGCCAGGTTCGTTTGCAGGGAGTTGAGACAATGTGGACTATTTAATGTAGGGTTGCCGTATTTTGAAGAGCAAAAAAGAGGACACATTTGCCAACTTCTACTTTTAACTATGGATCGACTCTCATTTTACATACCCATGTAAAAGAGGATGTGTCCTGGAAAAAGAGGACATATGGCAACCCTAATTTACAGAGCATTCATTCTGATTTGTTTGCAGACAATGTGTCAAAGCAAGCATTGATGCACCATCCAGTAAATTTCCCCATCACTTTCATTTTCACAAAAAGTCCAATATTTGTGGGGAGAAGGATTTTTGCGCAAGACGTACCAATAAACAGTAATTGTGCATTATGCGTCTGAATCCCACCCCAAAACAGCAGCAATCTGGAAGGGCTGCCAAGCTAGTTTAATGTTATGAGCATAATCTTCCCCCTGAGTTCCACCCTTTTCTGCCATTGCCCCGAGGATGAATTCAGAAGCAATCACTTCTGTTTTTCATTAACCATAGCTTGCCATATCATCTGAGTACAGTGGTACCTCGGGTTACATACGCTTCAGGTTATAGACTCCGCTAACCCAGAAATAGTACCTCGGGTTAAGAACTTTGCTTCAGGATGAGAACAGAAATCGTGTTCCGGAGGTGCGGCGGCAGCAGGAGGCCCCATTAGCTAAAGTGGTGCTTCAGGTTAAGAACAGTTTCAGGTTAAGAACAGACCTTCGGAACGAATTAAGTACTTAACCCGAGGTACCACTGTAGTTTAGGAAGCTGGCATTTTTTCATTGACCACAGTTAAATTTAACCACAGTTTAGGGTTCAGATGACACGCTAAACCGTGGTTAATCTAAAACAGAATTGGTAGCTTCTGACTCCCTCCTCACAGCCATGGAAAGGCTGCAAGCTCAGGTCAAGCTAGGGGATTCTCCTAATGCTAAACCACAGTGTAGCATCATGCCTAAATGAAGTCAATGTATCTAAATTCACCAGACCCTCCCCACTAAATGCAGCAATAATTATCTGTCTATCCTGAGAAAACAAGTGTATGTGTTGTTTACCTTCTGAGGAAGTTTTTGTATTGTTCATGCCTTGCTTGTGCTGTCCTCCTCATTATATTCTGGAAAACCTCTCTGTCTAATGCCCATGTTTTCACGCTGGTGACAGCTTTAGGAACAAGCGGGGAAGAAAAGCAAAATTAAGAAGCTAAACCATTCTACAGCATACAAAAAGTCACCCAGATACACCCAGTGCAAATCCACCGAAGTGAGCACATTGACTGAGGTTCTTCGTGAAACTGAGAATGCATTCACACTCACAGTGGGATTTTTGTATCACCTTCTCGTAGCCGAAATTGTCAGCGAGGGAAGCTGCAACTGGCGGCTTCACACCTCGCTGGTGTGATGATATGATTTTGCACAGCAACTGCTCATGTTTCACCCTGGACGATTTCTATTCCAGGACAGCTTATAAATGTTGTAAATGAATAATTGGCATTCTCAGCAGGATTTCATAGTAAAGAACTAACAATAGCTCAGAGTCTTCCAAGGGGACAGATCCAAGGTGATGCATCTCAGATTTTGCGGGACTACTAGTCCCATCATCCTTGATTGCTGAGTGAGGCATATGGGAACTGGAGTACAACAAAATCTGGGAGGCACCACAATAGCTACCCCTGAGTTAGAGTGCCAGGATAAGGAAAATAGTGTTCAAGTGGGTGTCAGGCGTCAGAGGATACAATCCCCACAGCAGGTTGCCAAGAACGGAGAAGACAAGGAAAGTTCTTACCAACTGCTTTTTATTCAATATTCACAGAGAAAGGCCTAGAAATGCAGCCTCTTAGAATAATGGCATTGCTCTGAGTAAAGATCCAACCCCCTTCTCTCCTAACTTCCTCAATGCAGAGAGACCTGCATTGGCTCCCAGTACGTTTCCGAGCACAATTCAAAGTGTTGGTGCTGACCTTTACAGCCCTAAACGGCCTCGGTCCAGTATACCTGAAGGAGCCTCTCCACCCCCATCATTCAACCCGGACACTGAGATCCAGCACCGAGGGCCTTCTGGCGGTTCCCTCATTGCGAGAAGTGAGGTTACAGGGAACCAGACAGAGGGCCTTCTCGGTAGTGGCACCCGCCCTGTGGAATGCCCTCCCATCAGATGTGAAGGAAATAAGCAGCTATCCTATCTTTGAAGGACATCTGAAGGCAGCCCTGTTTAGGAAAGTTTTTAATATTTAATGCTGTATTGTTTTTAACACTCTATTGGGAGTCACCCAGAGTGGCTGGGGAAACTCAGCCAGATGGGCGGGGTATAAATAATAAATTATTATTAATTATTATTATATTCGTCAACAGCACCACCCCCTCTATGGTTGCCGCTTAGGGCCATCTGTCTCCAAGCCCTTTGCTCTCCTACTTTTAAGGCTCACCAGGTTCTGTGAGATGGTGGGTCTGGAATGCTTTCTAGTGATAACATGTCAGCTAGCTGCTCCAGCTCTGCCCCCTCCGCCTCTCCCATTATTTCCCAACTTTCCCCCTCGTCTTCCTCTGAGCTGTGACCTCCCTCAAACTCCTATTGTAATTCAGAACTGTCTCCTTCTTCTCTGGAAGGGTCAGGCTGGGGAGGTGGTCTCCACCATTCTTCCTATGCCCAGTGGCCTTTGTCCATTCCCTGACCCCCAGTCTAAGTTGCCACATAGGGTTGCTGTGGGGCAGAGATGGATTTAGAGCAGTATGAGCCCTGCAGCCACACCAGGTGTGCAGCCAAGATGGGCGCATTCTCAAAGCCTGGTAAGTGGGTAAACACTTGTCCAGCTTCGGGAAGGAGCCATTAGGGCTCTGGCAGGGTCCTAAAGTATCCTTCATCCTTCCCAAAACCAGGCAAGTGCTTACCTTTGGGAAGGAGGTAGGAGGGCTCTAGGATCCTGCCAGAGCCTCATGCCTCCTTCCCAAAGCCCAGCTTAAGCTGGTGCCACAAGGCTGGGGGTAGGGTGTCAAATGCTCATGGTGATGTATTACCATAGCTGTCAATGTTTCCCTTTTTTAAAGGATTCCTCCCAAGAAAAGGGAAAAGGGAAAAGTTGGCAGCTATGTATATTACCACAGTCCACCCCTACATGGGGAAGGATGAAATAGCCCCTTGGTATTTTGCTCTGAGCTTTTCAGAGAAAGAATAAAATATAAACAAACTGACGGTCCATCTTATTAATACTGTGGAGAATATTTCTTTCTTATATGATAATGACTCTTGCTTGCCTGGATGAAGGATAGAGAGGTGTGTGTAGAAAGTGGCCCATTGTACAAAAGCAAAATTGACACTTATTGCTCAACCCATTTTTGCCTCTGACGTTGCTCGCCATTGGAGTGTGGCCCTTGGAACATCGCCCAGAAGGTAAGCTGTCCCCTAATCTCAATCCCGCTGCAATATGTATGCATGCTATTAAATACAAATACACCCCCCCTGAAATCTTCAGACTTCCCAGAAGTTAATAACATCCGAGTTGTGCTTAGGATGCTAAGGAGAAACGTTGACAAAGGCTCCTAATTAACATGCACCAAAAACTGCTCAAAACCTGACCTGGGGCTGTAACGAGATGACAACTCAGGAGCACTTCGTAAAAAACAAACGAGAATCAAAATAGAAAGTGGTCATGGCAGATAAACTAATCTGCATGGTGCTGCCTCTTGTATGAGATTAGCAGAAATTGTTCCGTGCCGCTTTTCTGAATATGAATTGCGTCTGATGAACACGCAAAAAGATCCTCAGGGCCTGCTTTTTCCCTTCAAGAATCTAACTAGGCTTCTGGAGCTAGGAGTTCTGGGCCAATGCATTGACCAACAGGCCAGAGAAGGGAACTGTTGCTACTTCAGAGCAGACAGTAGGAACCTCTTATCGGAACTCACATATCCAAGAGTGGAAATGATGCACCAATCAGATCCCTCTGTATGTAACATCCCCAGGTCTTGTTTGGGAACATGTCATGGGAAACTACTGGGATGTTTTCCCACACCTATTAGATTAGCCTCTGCCTGCCTGACACATATATTTGTCCGACTGCCTTCCCTGATTTGATTCAGTTTGATTCAGTTCTCATTTAAAGGTGAACCCACCTAAATCACACTTCCCAAAACAATGCAGCCGGCTTTCAAAATTTGCACTCTGAATTTTGCAGAGCAGTTCTCCAGCCAAATAATGCGTACTAAAATGCATATGATAATTACATATAAATGCATATATTACTGAAAATGGCATGCAAACGTGCATTATATTAGAGAAAATATTAACATTCCCTAATATTTATTAGGGAAAATACACTTTGCACAAATGTGCATATTAGAGAAAACTGCATCCAAAAAAAAGGATGTGCTGGGAGAAATTTGCACTAGAATGCTGATGAATTTTCAGGAGGACTTAAAAAAATAATAATTTGGAAACTGAGGTGGAAATGTGGACTGAAAAACTGAGAAATTGAAACTGACAGATTTGCCCATCTCTAGCCCTGATCTACCTTGTTTTGCCCTTTCACCCATGAACTGCTGCTCCAGTTTTGGAATTCCATTTGCTAAATCCCCTCACAACTGCTTGTTCCACCACCCTCAGCTGCCCAAGGCCTCACAGCCATAGCTAGAGACGACCAGATGGTGTGCTTCAGAATCTCTACAGCAGGGATGGGGAACCTGGCGTCCTTCAGCTGTTGTTGGACGACAGCTAGCTGACTATTGGTCATGCTCACTGGTGCTGATGAGTCCAACAACATCTGGCTCCTCATCCTTGCCGTGCAGCATCAAACCCAAAGCTGCAGGTTTTGTCTCACAAGACCCCTCCATGGCCACTGTACGGCTCTTCTCTGTTTGTCTCATCATTGCCACAGTCTCTTCTATCAGGAAAGAGCAGCCTTGGGAGGCTTGCTTTTCTGCTTTTGCAAAATTTCGAGGGATTAAGTGCACACACCTTTCACCGAGGCCGTCCTTGTGCAGTTGTACAAAATGGCCAGCTCCCCAAACGCTGTCCACACAGGAATCGAAGAGAGAAGTTTGTTTTGCTGAAAGACTTCCAACCTGCCTTCTGCGGGGAGAAAAAGACAGCATCAAAAATGGTGTGCGGTTTTGCTGACTAGCTACGAGGCGGGTTCCTACAGTCACTTTTATATAAAACATAACCGCCCCCCAAAAAACTCCATGACAGCCAGGTAATCTAATATCTGAGCTAGTACTTCAGTGTTAGTGTGAACTATCCCTAGCAGTTTAGAACTGGGAACTTAGAATAAACCTCAACGGATTTTTAAGCCTACAGCTTAAAACCCCTACATGAGTTTTACACTCAGTTTTCAATATATACGGCAAGATAAATTACAACCTCTCCATGAAGATTCTGCTCCGGGCAATTTCTCTTACACCTTTTTTTTATATATTCGATGAAAAATTGATTTTATTAGAGTTAACAATATTTTACCGCCTTCTGCATCCAAAACTTTATTCCTCGTTTCAGCTAACGGCAAGATTTCATGTGCAGGTGATCTCTGAACATGGCTGTACGTTTCTTTGCTGCAATTGTTTCCTTCGAGGCTAAAAAGTCGAATATATCACAAGCAGACTGTCCACAAAGTAGCTATTTTGCTAAACATTAAACAATGGTTCTAATATTGGAGGAGCCAGTGGAAATTAGAGGCGAATCTTTTTTTAGGAGGAAAGGACAGCTTTGCTCTTAATGCCATGTTCAGGGGAGCTATTTCCTCCCTAGTATTGATTTCACTGGTTTAATTAGGAGTAACTCGATTCAGCTATCGACTCAGCTAGAACTATGGCAGTGTTAATTGCACCAAAGGTCAAACCCAAATGTGACGCCAGCAACCATGTTTATTTAAGCACACATCTTGGCAAAGTGTGCCTGCCTGCATGCCTCATTGTGAATGTCAAAGTGGGGTATAGGGGTGAGGGAGCTGAATCTGCCCCACAGTCTCACCCCAGACATTTGCCTTGCAGTGCAGCTTAGTTGCCATATTGTAAAAAGAGGAGCCCTGCAGGATTAGCCATTGATATGCCCCAATGGCAGAGTGGTGCATGCTCTAGTTATCTCTCGCTTGTACTACCGCAATGCGATCTACGTGGGGCTACCTTTGAAGGTGACCCTAAACTACAACTAATTCCAGAATGCGGCAGCTAGACTGGGGACTGGGAGAGGCCACTGAGACCACATAACACTGGTCTTGAAAGACCTACATTGGCTCCCAGTACATTTCCGAGCACAGTGTTGGTGCTGATCTTAAAGCCCTAAACAGCCTCAGCCCAGTATACCTGAAGGAGCATCTCCACCCCCATCATTCAGCCTAGACACTGATGTCCAGCTCCGAGGGCCTTCTGGCGGTTCCCTCCCTGCGAGATGTGAGGTTACAGGAAACCAGGCAGAGGGCCTTCTTGGTAGTGGCAGCCAACCTGTGGAACGCCCTTCCATCAGATGTCAAGGAAATAAACAACTATCTGACTTTTAGAAGACATCTGAAGGCAGCCCTGTTTAGGGAAGTTTTTAATGTTTGATGTTTGATTGCTTTATTATTATTAATAATAATATTCAGTTGGGAGCTGCCCAGAGTGGCTGAGGAAACCCAGCCAGATGGGTAGGGTATAAATTATTATTATTATTATTATTATTATTATTATTATGAAGGTCACAAGCAGGCTATGAGCACAACAATGGATTGGGGTGTTGGGAAAATCTGAACTATGGCTTCTCAGAAGTAAGTGCCACTGAATTCAATGGGGCATCCTCTCAAGTTACGTTGGGTTGTACATGACTAAAGTGACAGTCACAACATACAATTAAAGTACTACAGCTGTAGTTTATTAAGGGTGCTGAGCATTGTTAGGAGATCCCTGTTCCCCTCCCAGAGCTACAATTTCATGGAATCCTAGAGCTGTAGAGTTGAAAAGGATCCTGAGAGTCATCCTAGCCCAATCCCTTGCAATACAGGAATCTCAACTAAAGCATCCATGACAGATGACCATCCAACCTCTGCTTGGAAACCTCCAAGGAGTCCATTCCACTGTCAAAACAGCTCATACAGTCAGAAAGTTTTCCCTGATGTTTAGTCTGAGTCTCCTTTCTTGCAATTTTCCGGGGGTGGGGTTTAAGAATCAAATCCCCTTCACAGAGAACTCTGGGAACCGAGAGGGGAACAGGGGTTTCCTTACAACCCTCAGCAACCTTAAACCACGGCTCCCAGAATTCTCTGGGGAAAGCCAGGGCTGTTCAAATTGCTACTGTAGTGCTCCGAATGCATGGTGTGAATGTGGCCAAAGACAGGTGAATGTGATTAAGCAATTACTCCAGTGCGGTGTAGTGGTTAGGAGTGGTAGACTCGTAATCTGGTGAACTGGGTTCACGTCTCCGCTCCTCCACATGCAGCTGCTGGGTGACCTTGGGCCAGTCACACTTCTTTGAAGTCTCTCAGCCCCACTCACCTCACAGAGTGTTTGTTGTGGGGGAGGAAGGGAAAGGAGAATGTGAGCCGCTTTGAGACTCCTTAAAGGGAGTGATAAAGCGGGATATCAAATCCAAACTCTTCTTCTTCTACTACTACTTAACCTGAGGTACCACTGTATATTCGTAAATTCACAATTTCACATTTCATAATGTACCAACATAATGTACCTCAGGTTACAGACGCTTCAGGTTACAGACTCCGCTAACCCAGAAATAGTACCTTAGGTTAAGAACTTTGCTTCAGGATGAGAGCAGAAATTGTGCTGCGGTGGCGCGGCAGCAGTGGGAGGCCACATTAGCTAAAGTGGTGCTTCAGGTTAAGAACAGTTTCAGGTTAAGAACAGACCTCCAGAACAAATTAAGGGAGCCAGTGTGGTGTAGTGGTTAAGAGCGGTAGTCTCGTAATCTGGGGAACTGGGTTCACGTCTCCGCTCCTCCACATGCAGCTGCTGGGTGACCTTGGGCCAGTCACACTTCTCTGAAGTCTCTCAGCCCCACTCACCTCACAGAGTGTTAGTTGTGGGGGAGGAAGGGAAAGGAGAATGTTAGCCACTTTGAGACTACTCCTCCACCACTTCTTCTTCTTCTTCTTCTTCTTCTTCTTCTTCTTCTTCTTCTTCTTCTTCTTCTTCTTCTTTTTCAATGTTGGTGCTGCTGTCCTATCTAGTTTAGCTTCCAGGAATGCAGCTTAAGAGAGGCGTTTCAATGCATAGGGTTGTAGACAACTTAGTTTTACTCAGAAGAGGTTCATTGAGATGAATGGAACTATGCTAGCAATGGCCACTAATTTTGATTGGTTTACTCTGAGTATGTTGATTCAGGCCATATGTATCAAGCAGCAGTGAAGGTGCACCAAGACAGCTCTATATTTCAGTAATATTTTGGCTGCTTGAGGCATTGGAACCCTTGACATTAGCTAGACTATCCGGTGTCGCCTTGCAAAGAGTGGCCAAACCAGACGACAAAGGGGTGGCAAGCAGCTTATGGAAAAGGCTAGATGGATTTAGCAGTCAGGTAGTGGGAGAAATAAAAAGGGAAAGCTGTATCCATAATTCTTGTGAGCATTTCTGGGATGGGGAAAGGTGGGATATCCAGCTGGCCATTTATAAACAGATAATAATAATGACTCATCTCCTAGGGCTGCTGTGATGGATGGATGAGGTAGGAAGGCACTTAAAGCACAACACACATTATTACAAGCATCACATTGCTCCTCTTGCGGTCATAAATAATAGTTGATGTGCCTAGAAACATCGCTGGCTAATGGAACTTTTGGGTTCAGACACAGCGTGCAGTTTGCATGGACAAAAGGATTGCCCTGTTTTAAACTATCGAGAAGATGGATGCTGGAAGCCCTATCTTCCAACTGGGCTGCCATCTTAGAATCATAGAATTGTAGAGTAATGTGAGATGAATAAACAGCCAGCAATAAAAGATAATGGGAGAGGGTTTACCCCAGAAAATTATTTGTCAAAATTACAAATACCCAAATACAGACGGTCATTTACCCTCGCAAGATTCAACATACTGCCTCATTGCAGGGCAGATTCGAGGGTAAACCATCCATGGACTGAGTCTGCCCCTGCGGCTTGATGGAGGTAAAAACTGTCTCTCATGTCTTCTTATGCTGCCATTTCTACGGGGATATACGCTCGGTATTTATCACTCCTCTTATACCAAAATCTCCAACGGGTCCGAACTTCAATGTCTAAAACTCCTGGTAGACGACAAGGATCTAGAGATCACACTAAGGGTGGCCAAATTCTGTGTGACTGCCATAAAACTTAGGGAACAAGCTGTGCTACCAAAATGATTAAGTTTTAAATGACAATTTTAGGTTATATTTTAGTGATCAAGATTTAATATATATTTTTAACTGCCGCTATATCTGAATTGTCTCTGTAATACCCAATTGCAATTCAATGTATTCCTGTTGTGTTTTATGATATTGTAAGTGAGCTGGAACTGGTCTGTGACTGTAATAATAAAATTCAGAATTGTAGAATTTGAGGGGGCCACAAGGATCATCTAGTGATCCTTGTGCAATGCAGGAATCTTCTGCCCAGCATGGCTCTCGGACCCAGAACCCTGAGATTAAGAGTTTAACTATATCTACTCAGAAGCAAGTCCTACTTAATTCAACAGGACTCACTCCCATTTAAGCGGGGCTAGGATTGCAGCATGGCAAGTTCATACCAGGTCAAAGCAGAAAATTCCCAGTGCTAGCCATTCAAATGTACAACTTAATGTGGTTTACTAACCTGCCAGTACAAATATATGGTTGCCAGGCTCTCCTTGTTTGATTATGTAGCTCCCTTGCTGGTATGTTCTCCCATACATACATTCCACCATATCTCTGATCTGCTGCGGGTCCAGCCTCTTCAGAAATTGGTTTCTACTCAGGGCATCTGTGATGAGCTTTTTCTCACTTATATTCAGTAAACCAGAGAGAGGAGAGGAGAGAAATAAAGAAAGGCAAAAGTCACGTTCATTTGCAGCATATAAATGGATTGCATTATGCACAACTTATTCCCCCCATCATGGTATTCACAGTCCAGTGCCCATGAAAGTAGTTTACGTTTTTCTCTGCAACCTAAAACATTCAGCACATAGGAAATTGTTGCTTTAAGCATTTGTCCATCTGGCCTAGCACTGCCTGAGCTAGGGATGGGAGGATCTGTACATTTCGATTCTCTTAAGTTTCTCGATTTCCCCATTTTAAATTCAGTCCTCCACATTTCTGCAGCGGTTTGCAGGGTGCTGTTGTTTTTAAATCCTCGGGAAGATTCTTCAGTATTTTAGCGTGATTTTCTCCTGCTAAACACAAATCTGCCCACAGTTTTGACTAGCGTGCATGTTTTTTTGCAAGCAGCTTCTCCTAATACAATGCATTTTTTGTTAGTCGTTTCACAAACATGTGCATTTTGACACACACATTCCCTTAACATATGCATTTCTGTAAACACTGATTGATTGGAGAACTGCATCACAGTATTTAGAAAAGTGTGAGTTTTGGAGGATGGCTATGTTTTGGTTTTCATGCTGTTTCAGGAAGTGCAGCTCTGATACATTCTGGTTTAAATGAGACCTGAATTGAATTCTGTCCCCACTGCCCTGCCCTGTATCTCTACTGGCATCAGATCTCCAAGGTCTCAGGCTGAAGCCTGTCACATCACTTGCTGCCTGATCCTTCAAACAGGGTATGCCAGGGACTCAGCTCGCCAATGTGGGCTGGAGAATTTGTTGTGCCATTTGTTGCAGCCAAATCCTTTCCCAAAAATACTTACAGCATGGTAGCATACACAAACACAAACAAACGCACACACAGATTACAATTTTGTTGGCTCCATGATGACATTCAGAGCTTGCCTTTGCACACAGGGCAGGTTCTTCACTCACCAAGGGTTTGAGACCCATTGGCTACCTTACAGTAACTGTGTGAAACACTCTTTAGGGTGAAGAGGGGGACCCTGCAGCTCTCCAAATGTTATTGGAACAACAACATCAAAAGGGTCATAGGTTCTTCATATCAACACTGCATGAAACATGCACTGTATGAGCCCAAGAAACTGAGAAACTGAAATACATTTATTCATTTGCAAATGAAGGGATCTGAATCCACATCTACCGTATTTTTCGCTCTATAAGATGCACCAGACCACAAGACGCACCTAGTTTTTGGAGGAGGAAAACAAGAAAAAAAATATTCTGAATCCCAGTAGCCAGAACAGCAAGAGGGATCGCTGCGCAGTGAAAGCAGCGATCCCTCTTGCTGTTCTGGCTTCTGGGATAGCTGCGCAGCCTGCATTCGCTCCATAAGACGCACACACATTTCCCCTTACTTTTTAGGAGGGGAAAAGTGAGTCTTATAGAGCAAAAAATATGGTAGCTAACTTGAAGGGCAACCTTTGCCCCGGAACACCGTGCTTTCGTTATTGCCTGTGTGAGGCTCATCCATCTAATGAAGCGAATCTCAACACAGCACTTTGGAAACCCTCCAGGGTCTCTTCCGACTTGGATTCATAAAACAAAGTAAAACTGTCCCAGGGAACGAGGCTTTGCTGCAAAATCTCCAGAGGGCACCTTAAGAGTGAGTGATCACTTCCCGTTTTGCAGCTTGATTCATTTGCTTTATTACCTGTGCAGCAAGCTTGAAAACGAAGAACGGCAATGATAAAAGCCTAGAAAAATAAAATCAGAGGCACAGAAGTCGTCGCGTTTCCTGGCCAAAATAGAAACTTGGGGCATTTAGGAAACTTTAGGCCTAGCAAATCACATTGTATATAGGTCACAATGTTCAGCTGAAAACAAATTTTCTAAGTATAGGCTAACCCCCACTGCCATCTTGCATAAGTGGGTTTTTTTCTTCTTTACATCAGGAATTCCTAATTAGACCCAAATATTAAACATTTCGACAGAGTTGGCCAATGCATTAGATATGGTCCCTAAGGGACCAATTGAGGCTACCTTAACATTTCACTCTCGTGACGATGGTCCCTCATGAAAGCTGGTTTTCCCCATTTATGGTTTTGGTTTTCCCCATTTATGGGGTTTCTATGGCTTAATTGTCTTGGTTTTCCATCTTGACTTCCCCCACCCCATCTGATCCTGTTATATCTTAAAAGCACTGTAGGAAAAAAGCAAAATACGAGAGAGAGAGAATGAGAATGCATTACTTCATAGAACTTGCCGCTTCCAAGAGGAGACTAGTTTCTGAACAGTACAGCAAGTTCTCAATGATGGTTGCACGGCTAGCTTCAGGAAATAGCCTCCTCACATGAAACTGTGATATGCTGCAAAGTGTCTCCTCTCTAGGCACCAACGGTAATAGCTGGAGTGCCAAACCAGCATTGGCCCAGTTTCTATGAGGGATGCTGCTGCCAAGGGGAAGAGAGGTCAAGACTTGGCCACCTCCCATCTGGTCCTGGTTGTCTGATGTTACCACTAGGGCAGACATGGCCAAACTTGGGCTCCAGCTGTTTTGGGACTACAATTCACATCATCCCTGACCACTGGTCCTGTTAGCTAGGGATAATGAGAGTTGTAGTCCCTAAACAGCTGGAGGGCCAAGTTTGGCCATGCCTGCACTAGGGCACACTGTAGCTGCTCTCACATGGCAGAAGGTCATTGCAGAAGGGCCTTGAACATAGCTGTCAACTTTTCCCTTTTCTTGCGAGGCATCCTATTCGGAATAAGGGAATTTCCCTTTAAAAAAGGGAAAAGTTGACAGCTATGGCCTTGAAGGATCTATACAGAATTGCTCTTTGTTCCAATCCACTGTTACACACAGCCTATATACTAATGAACCAAACGTATAGTCTATTCTTTTCCTAATTATTACTTTCCTATCAACTTACTCCCCACTCCCATTGCCAACAATTCAATTTGTAATTTTTATTTGCACGGGTGTGCTTATTTATTGCTGGGGACATAAAGAAACATTAACTCCATTAAAGGCCCGTCTGGCGCAGTTACTTTCTCCCTATAAACGTTGATTGATGAAACAAAAATTGCAAACTTCGCCCTGCTTCCCCATTAAAATTTCTCAGGGTAGTAATTAGTGGGTGCATAATCGTAGACAATCACCTGCATTATATGATATTGAAGTGGGGGGGAAACACAAATTACGAGGTTCAAACATCAAGAGCTGAAGGAAAAATGGAAAACAAAATTGCAATGAGGAATAAAGAGAAACCAAGGCAAAAACTAAAGGAATTAAAGGGACAATCTCTCCTGCATAATCCCATGGACATTAACGGAAGCTGAGTTGTGCATTATGCTGCTCTTATACAACTCCCATTCACTTCAATGGGGTGCATGTAGACTCTTGCAGCAGACGAGATAATAATAATAATAATAATAATAATAATAATAATAATAATAATAATAATAATTTATTTATACCCCACCCACCTGGCTGGGTTTCCCCAGCCACTCTGGGCGGCTCCCAACAGAATATTGGAAGCACAATAAAACATCAAAGATTAAAAACTTTCCTAAACAGGGCTGCCTTCAGATGTCTTCTAAAAGTCAGATAGTTGATTATTTCTTTGAGGGCGTTCCACAGGCCAGGTGCCACCACAGAGAAGGCCCTCTGCCTGATTGAGTGGCAGGAGAGACAACCTGCTTCCATTTGATTTAGCCTCACACTTTCTAAGGCAGCTTCCTCAACCTGGTCTCCTCCAGATGTTCTGGGCTACAAAAAGTAGATGTTGTGAGAACTTATTATTGCTTAGACCAGGTTTCCTCAACCTCGGCCCTCCAGATGTTTTTGGCCTACAACTCCCATGATCCCTAGCTAGCAGGACCAGGGGTCAGGGATGATAGGAATTGTAGGCTCAAAACATCTGGAGGGCCAAGGTTGAGGAAGCCTGGCTTAGACACTTATACTTTGAGCTTGGAAGTATAAACATCCAGTGTCTATTTTGCAATGATCTGAGTACTTCACAGCCCTTAATACATCTGAACATATTTCTTCTAAATGCCAATTGTGTGGGTCCCTATCTGGACATTAGGATGGCTTGTATCAACTTATACGTTTAAATTAAAATGGATGCACAAGCTTCTTCCTCCTCCCCCCCTTTTCACTTTCCCCCCTTTTCTCTGTGTTTTATTTTTTCTGTTTTCTTCTTTGTTGAATTTGTTATTAAAAACACACACACACTTAAATCAAAATGTTCTTTTTTTTTTATGCCAACTGAAAATATTCCAAGGCCAAATACCCTATGCAAATTAGATGCAATGGGAACATTTTCTCAGATAAAAATCCTATGCACATTATGGACTAATTTGCATGGGATTTCCCCACCCCCAATAAAATTTTCCAATTCAATTTTTTTTCCAGGAAACCCATATCACTGGTCCTATGGGACTGATGTTAACGACAAACAAGTGTGCTCCCATGCTTATTTCATAGACTGGAAGACAGTATAATACATGGATTAGCAAACTTTTTCAGCAGGGGGCCAGCCCACTGTCCCTCAGACCTTGTGTGGGGCCAGACTATATATATTTTTTGGGGGGGTGAACGAATTCCTATGCCCCACAAATAACCGAGAGATGCAGTTTAAACAAAAGGACACATTCTACTCATGTAAAACCACGCTGATTCCTGGACTGTCCTTGGGCTGGATTTAAAAGGCAATCGGGCTGGATCCAGCCCCTGGGCCTTAGTTTGCCTACCCATGGTATAATACTTTGCCAGGCATTTCCTTACAATTTATTCTAGGAAACCTTGGCTTCCTTTCCTCATATTGTTGCTAACAATAGGCATGCAACCACAGCACAGTGAAAAAGTGGGGTGAGGGGAGAGAATAGAGCAACCCTTCCTTTATTTGTTCCCTCCCTGATCTTTATTGTAATTATTATCATGTTCTCTGGCACTTTGGCTATCCTTCTTTGGCAATCTACGAGCGGAGAAATATGCCC